TCTCTATTTTTAGCTGCAGAGTGCAAAAGCACAGAGCTGCTGAGGAATTAATCGGCTGGCCTGGGAGATGGATGGTTGGGATTTTTCTCTGACGGAAAGATGTTTGGGAAGAGGCAGAGGGAACCGTGTCGGGGTGTTTTGGCCACCCGGGTCTCCATGCAATGCTGGGGCTGCACGGGGATGTCTCTGGTGGTGGCACAGATGAGGAGGAGGAGGAGGAAGATCCCTGAATGTGACTCCCAGTGCCTGGGACAGCACGTCCAGCACACCATGGCCCAGCCCTGCCTCCAGCCAACGTCCCTCCCCACTCTCCCCATTGCAGAGTTTTCTGCTGGTTCCAGCACAGCATCAGGCCATTCCCTCCCCTCTCCTGCAGGGAATGTGCTCCTGGAAGGGTTTTGCCCAGGCTGGAGCAGTGGGCTGGCTGTGTTCTCTGTAGAGGTGCCGATGGCCAGGCTATGCTGCACCTGCTGCCCCAGGCTGTTTGGAGCAGGAGCTGCTTGGATTTTGAAGGTTTTTGGAGCACTGAGGGGGCAGAGTGGGGCTKCTCCTGGTTCCCTGGCCTTGGCAATGGGCTGGGATGTCCCCGAGACGGGTGCTGTGCCTGGAGAGATGCTGAACACCGGGAGCTGCTCCCTGGCTGCGCATGTGTGGGAAAACATCAGGGTTTTAACGAGCAAATTTAATGCAGTGTCCTGCTGTTTTGGGCAGATTTCCATATCGATCCTTGATCTATTTTTGCAGCCGCCGTCGGAGGTGGTGGCTATTTGTGTGTCTGCTATATCACAACTCATCCCATTTCCTCCTGGAGTGTTTGTGCTCGCAGGAGCTCCCTGGGCTTTGCGGGGTGGGGATTTGGATCCCGGGCTGGCCTTGGCACAGAGCTGGGCTGCTCCCACGTCCCTTCAGCCAGTTCTCCTCTGCTGGSTTTCTCCTGGCTTCCTGAAATGCAGGATAACCCAATCCATCCCCCGCTCCTGGGTGGCCTGGCCCGGTGACACCACAACCTAATGACATTTCTGKGTGGCTGCACTGTCAATCCCACAGCTCATTACTGGCACTAATTAACTCTGTGCTGCCCCAGCGCCTGCACCTGCTTTGATCTACAGTCACTAAGGCCATTTATCCCCATTGTGACAGGAACTTGCCCCCCCCTCAGGCCCAGGAGATGCCTCCAAGGRTCAATAATGACATTTGGGGGTTTCTTTTCCATGGTTAAAGGGGAGCCTTGCTCAAGGGATGCTCAGGTGGGTGCTCCTGGGCAGAACCACTGGAGCCAGCACCCATCACAGCTCCGGGGAGCGGGGGTGGGTGTTCCTGCCTGGAGCCTGAGAGGTGTCAGYGAGCAGCTTCCCATTTGTCCAGTCGATTGTGAAGCAAATTGATCCATGTATCCAATTTAACTTAAAAGGCTTTAATTAATGAGTTMATGCGTGTAAGAGCTGGGAGAGGCCGGGCTGTCAGTGCTGATGCTGGGTCGTGCTGCAGCTCCAGTGGCACTCGGGCACTTGGGGATGTGCCAGTTGCTCCCAGTGGGGTTCGCTGGCACGGTGGGGACCCTGTGACCCGAGGGAATGGCATTTGGTGGGGTGGCAGCACCGTGTTGGTGTGGGAGCAGYGTCTGTGCACGTTCCAGGAGCAGCACGGTCTCGCTCCATCACCTTCCCCTCCCTCCCTCCTGCTCCYGGGCCGTGGGATGGTGCCAGGGCTGCAGCCAGCGGGGCCTGGCTGTGTGATAATGYTGCTCCTAATTGACGACCATCTGCACTTGGTAATTTAATTTCTCCTGCATCTGCAAGGTTCCAACTTTGTTTATCTGATGTCCTGAAGATTATTTAACTTCGGAGCATCGTGTTTGTCCGCCCCAGGCACCACAGACATTCCAGTGCGGTCCCTTCTAGACAAGATTTTAATAACGCTTGTACCGCCCCAGGAAAAAGGACACATAAAAACTAAAATTGGGAAGGGTGACAGCAGAGCCGAGGTGCAGGGATGGTTTTCCTGCCCGAATTGTGGCAGGAGGCTGCTGGGAGCATTACCTCTGTTCTGAMAAACGGGGTGAGATGAGGAAGGAGCCCTGAGCAGCACAGCCCCTCCCTCTCCAGCAGAGCTGGCAGCACATTTCACGTCTCAGTGCATTGACACACGGCGTCTTTTGTCTTTGGATGCTTATTACGATCGCAGCCCCCAGCTGTGCCTTGGAAGGGCTGACAGGAGGGAATTGAGGCAGCTCCTTAAAGAAAATAATAATAATAATTGGAAGCTGGAAAGTCACTTAGCCACGGTACGGGGGGAGACCTGGGCATCTGGTTCATCTGAGCCCCGCTGGTGTGTGCTGCTGGCAGCAGCCTCTGCTCTTTCCCAGCCCAGCTCTTGCCTTTCCCACCCTGTCCTTCCCACCTTCTGCTTGGCTTCTTCACCCGTGTTCCGCAGAGGAGCCACCCGTGCTACAGAGCATGCAGGGATCACGGAATCCTGGAGTGGTTTGGGTGGGAAGGGACCTGAATCCATCCCCTGCCATGGCAGGGACACCTTCCACCATCCCAGAGTGCTCCAAGCCCAGTCCAACCTGGCCTTGGGCGCTTCCAGAGATCCAGGGGCAGCCACAGCTTCTCTGGGTGCTCTTCTTTGGGGTGCAGGCAGGGATGCAGGCAGGAGGGATGCTCTGGGTGGCTCTGGAACTTTGCTCTGTCCCACACCCGGACCCCAGGAAATCCATTTCTTTATCTAACCTAGTCCAGCAGCAGCTGAATCAATGYGCAGGCTTTAATTGGGTCTAAGCATTTACCTCCCTAAAATATAGGTCAGCCGTAATTAGTGTGACTCCTGTTGCTGCCGGCTCCGTGTTAATTAACTCCTGAAGTGGAGGTCAGTGCATGTGGGGCACCTTTGGAGCTTCAGCTTTTGTGGCTGCTCACCAGATGCTTCAAGGCGGCTTTGGCCTCGATGATCCATGCTCAGGGCTGGGGCCGTGTTCTCCATGATGGTCTGTCAGCCTTGGAGCACGGCCACTTTGGGGACATGGCCACGTCCCTGGGCACAGCCACGTACTCTGAACTGGAGGTGTTTGTGTGGCCATGGGGAGGGGGTGCTGGTTTTAACGTGATGCTTCTGGTGTCCTTGTCCCTTGTCCCATCCATCACACCAAGTGTCTCATCCTCTTGTGCTGAGATTTGGGGCCGATGGCRAAACACAGCGCCTTTCCTTCCTCTGCAGTGCCTGGCATGGCATCCCTGACACAGTCCCTGACAGGTGGTGCTGGAAACTGGAAATGGTGTTTGGAATGGCACTGTGCCAGGGCAGAGCCTGCGGGATGTGCCAGTGGGATCGTGCCAGGACAGAGCCTGCGGGATGTGCCTGCGGGGTGGATCTCCTGCAGAACATGCATCTGCTGTGTCTCACCTGTGGCCCAGGTGCTGGGCAGGGCTGTTCTCCATCCTCTGGGGATGATGTGAAGGTGCAGCTCAGTGCCATTTGCTGTGGCAGTGGTCCCATCCTGGGGACAGCTCTGTCCCTCCTCACCTGGAGGCCCCAGATCCAGGAGCACTTTGTGGCAGTAGTGATCCTGGGTTTTAGGCTCTTCAAGCCTTCAGCAGCGCTGCTGTCACATCCTGGGAAAGGCTCAGCTCCACGYGCAGRGAGCCCTAAATGCYTGTCCAGCTCCCTGARCCCYRGCTTCTCCCCRAGTGCTTCCCAGCTCCCCCACCCCRCTCCCTGGCWGCCTATTTTTACAGCTCCGGGGCTGTGAATCACTTCTCTCCCCCATCTCAGTCGCTGCCTTTGAAGGTATTTATAAACCTCGGCCGTCTCCCTGTGCCTGCCTGAGCAGACGGAGGATTCAGTGCTCTGGCTCGCTCCTGCCCTCTCCTCCTGGCCAGATCCTTGCGGAGATGTGCAGGAGGTGAAGTGCTTCCTCTGCTCTCGTTAAAACCATCAGTGGAGAGCCTCGCCAGCACATGAAGGGGTGCTGAACAGTGTGGGATGTGCAGGGCTGGATCTTGGCAAAGGTTTGGTGGCACTGGAGTGGCTGGTGGTGTGTCCAGTGCTGGGAGTGGATGAGCCAGGGCTGAGTTGGAGCCCAGCTGGGGTCAGGGCAGCCTTGGCCATGCCATGGCCATGTGACGAGGGAGATGGGGGCACCCCAAACCAGCTCCGGAGCAAATGGAGGAAATGGGATTTAAATTATCACTGGAGCAGCCACCAGCTGCCTCATCCCACTGCTGTGCTGTTTCCTGGCCGTGTTTTCAGCACGTCCCAGTGATTACTGTGCTAATTCCTATGGATCTGGYGAGCAAATTAATCTCTTCTCTGCTCCTTCCCCTGGGACCGCTGCTCTGTAGGCTTGCATTCCTTGACTGTTTGGAGAGGCTGGTGTGGATTGCTGGGGTGGTGGCTGCTCTGGGACACACCCAGGATCTGTCTCGAGCCACCCTGAGGGGCACTGATGGGCTCCCACATGAGCTCCCAGCTCTGCCAGGACATCCACAGAAAGTGACTTTGGGGAAAACCCCATGTGGAGGGACACTGCCCCCTCTCCTCCTCTGTTCCGCCTTTCCTAAAACCAAGCAAAACAGTGGGGAAAAAAGTCCTGAGAGATAAACCGGGAGGAAAACAAGTCCAAGAGTCAGGAGCAGGAGTTATTTTTCATTTGCTGGCTGGATGTGGTGTGTCTGGCTCTGTCTTTTGAAGGCYGTTAAGGTGGGATGCTGGTGCTCATTATTTTGGCCGGAGGTCTCCAGCCTGAGCTGGGCTTGGCACTGCCAGGGTTTTGGTACCCAAAGAGATGCAACTTGTGCTGATACAGGGAGAGATCCTCTGGCTGGGCCATGGTGCAAATGGCTCTGCAGGTGCTGGGACTGACAGATGAGAGTTTAAAAAGCAGGAGAGGGGATCAGCCTAAGGGTTTGGGGCAAACACTGACTGGGGTGGGGGCAGGCTATGTCACCCTGGGTATCCTGCAGTCACGCTCACCCCTCACCCCTGTTTCCATTCTCTTTCAGAACAAGGTGCTGACGGTGGATGGGGTGAAGGTGAAGCTGCAGGTACGTCCCCATGGCTCTGGGAGCATCTCCCTTGCTGCTCTGGGTGTTCAGAGCTGGGTGAAGTCCCTTGGCAGAGGGCCATCCCCAAAATGGGGCCCCATCTCTGCCCCCTGTGGTTGTGTCTGCTGCCCTGGGACAGCCTTACAGATCCTTCTGGTTGCTCTGTCACCTTGGCAGAGTCCTACTCAGGTCTGGGGGCTGTTCTGGCCACAGTGATGCCCATCCCAGCCCTTCTGCCTCCCTGCTGCTCTGCAGCCAGAGCTGCTCCAGCCCCTGAGACCCAAAGGTTCCTCGGAGCCCTTTGCCCAGAGCTCGGTAACACCATTAGCACAGATCCTCCAGGCAGCAGCATGCACTCTGCAAACCTCCTGCTGCATTAAGGACTGATAAATCACATTAGAGGGTCCCCATGCATCCATCTGCTCCATGGATTTTCTGATTAAGGGCCGTGTTGGGAGCCCTTGGCCACATCGCRTCCCCACGCTGAGGAGCGGGAAGATGCTGCTTCCATATTTATTCCTCTGGTCATTTTTCCTATTAATGTCCCTGGCAGCAAAAGCTGGAGAAGTTTCCTGGGGCTGCACCGTGCCMGCTGGGCTGGTTTTGGTGTTGGTTTTGGTGGGTTGTGGTCAGGTCTGATCCCTCTGCTCCCCTCTGTCTTCCAGATCTGGGACACGGCCGGGCAGGAGCGCTTCCGCAGCGTCACCCACGCCTACTACCGGGATGCCCACGGTAAGAAAAGCCACCTCAGCTCTCGGGGAGCTCTGAGCTGCCACTCCAGCCCAGGTGAGTCAGGAATCACTGGAGTGGTTTTCCACGGGAAGCAGCTGCCGTGGATGGAGGAGGCTCTGCAAATACCGGCAGTGTGAGGGGTTGCTGGATTTTAGTGYGTTGTTCTGTATCTCACAGCAGGGACCTCATGTCCGCAGCTGTGACCTCCCACAGGCAGCTTGCAGAGTGTTTTAAGCCATGGACTTAGCTTGGCACTGGCACTAATGCCCTGTCCCTCTCTCCACAGCCCTGCTCCTGCTCTACGATGTCACCAACAAAGCGTCCTTCGACAATATCCAGGTACAGCAGCACCCCCGGGCCCTCCTGCTGTTAGTCCCTCATGTGTGATTGGCTGGGTTCATACAGGAGGAAATGTGTGTTGGAGGTGGAAGCTGTGGTCCCTGGCAGAAGGGCAGTGGTTACTGTTGAGCACCTGCAAAGAGGGGAGGGGACAGGCAGAGAAGGTTTTCCCTTTCGCAGCAAATAAAACGGTGATGGATTCACGGCTCCGGCCAATTAACGCTGTGTAATTACAGCACTGGCAGAGAACTTGCTGCGGAAGCTGGGCACGGTAGCTGAGCATGGGAGCTTTCCCCAGCGAGCTGCTCCCTCATCCCTCTCTGCTCCTTCAGGGCACAGTGATTTGGGGCTGGGCACGTCACTGTCCCCCCACCTCAGTCCAAACCTGGCAGGGAGAGGGTCACATCACCTCCCAGCCCACTGCCCTTCCTGCCAGCTTTGGAGGGGTGTTGGTGCYCGAGTTTGCCTCCTCCCCTGGGTCCTTCAGGGCTGCTGGGGACCAGTGCTGGGGCAGAGGGCTCTCCAAGCTGGCAGAGGGGGACTCAGGACACRCGGGCACTCAGTGTCCCCTCCCTTCACCCCACTGGCCCCATGTGGCTGCTGGGGGCCACCTGTGCCAGCCCTGGCAGGGCACGTCCCGACCCRGGGAGCAATTACCCCTGACTGGACTGGATGTAATTGCTCATGTCCCAGCCATGAGAACACTGCGTGCATCTGTGGGGAGCAGCTGTGCCTGCACCAACACCCTGTGTCATGGTGCCACCAACACCCCACCGCTGTCATGTGTCACACCAGCTCCTGGGCTCCCACAGCCCCTGATCCCCTGGGCCTGGAGCTCTCCTGCTCCTGAGCATCCTTCCCTTGGCAGGGAGCAGGGATCAGCAGGGATCACTAGAGACCACTGGGGATCACTGTGAGCCCAGCCACAGCACTGGAGACAGCAAGCAGCTGCTCACACCACGGGAGTTTACAGGGTTTACAGGGAATTAGGGCAGGTTTGATTAGATTAGGCTGGATTAGAGCGCAGGCAAGTCACCCCATGGCTCTGGAGGCCGGTTCAGGTGCCTGCCAGGATCAGTGTGCTTGGCATGGGGGCAGCACATGCAGGRCATGGGTACAGGGCACATCCTGGAGCCACTGCTCTGCCTTGTCCTCCAAAAGGAGGTGCAGTCTGAATGTCCCAGCCRAGGGGGAATGGGGGTCAAAGCCCTGCAAGCGCCTGTGGGCATACAGAACAGACAGTGGGGGCAGAAGGCTGCTGTTACCCTGGGAAATGGGGATCTGGCAGCGGCCAAAGTGGGTCCCCCAGGGCTTGGGGATACCTCCTTGTTGACAGGGATCATCCCTGGAACATCACATCCCTGGCATGGCTTGGGATGGCAACATTGCCTACAAAGGGTATCCATGCCCCCATCACTCCTGTTYTCCTCCTCCTCCTGGAGCTGTTGCCAACCTGTCTCTTTGGCTGTGTCCCTCCAGGCCTGGCTGACAGAGATCCATGAATATGCACAGCAGGATGTGGTCCTCATGTTGCTGGGAAACAAGGTGAGCCTGGCCCCACGGCTTTGCCAGAGCCTCCTCTTCCTCCCACACTGGAGCCATGGGCAGGGGAGCCTGGCAGGGCATATGGGGACAGGGAGGTACCTACTGGTGACCTACCAGATGACCACAAACTGCTCTTTCTCATTTCTGTTGCAGGTGGATTCAGCCCAGGACAGAGTGGTGAAAAGGGAAGATGGAGAGAAACTTGCTAAGGTAGGAGAGATACCTGAGGATATGGCTACCTGGAGACCAGTGTGACTCTAAACACACCTGGGAGCACTTGGCTGCTTTTCCCTTGTGCTCTCCCTTTCCTCCTCATCTGTTCTTCTTCCACTAAGTTTCCACTAACACTACTTCTTTGTCCTCAAAAATTACTCCCTGGGAGCCCTTGGGAACATGCTTGGTGACATTCCTGACACCACTGTGTCTCATCCCACAGGAGTACGGAGTGCCCTTCATGGAGACCAGTGCCAAAAGTGGCCTCAATGTGGAATTAGCGTTCACAGCCATCGCAAAGTAAGTGACCAGAGCACTGGCCATGCCATTGGGGGAACATTAGCAGTGTCCAGGCCATGCTRAGTTCAACTGAGCTGGGCAAGGCAGCTTGGAATCACAGAATCCTGGAATGGTTTGGGTTGGATGGGATCTTAAAGCCCATCCAGTTCCATCCCCTGCGATGGGAAGGGACACCTTAAACTATCCCAGGATGCTCCAAGCCCCAACCAATCTGGCTTTGGACAATTCCAGGGATCCATGGACAGCCACAGCTTCTCTGGGCACCCTGTGCCATGGCTTCAGCACTCYCACAGGGAAGAATTCCTTCCCAATAATCCCATTTTACCCTGCCCTGTCWGTGTGAAGCCATTCCCCTTTGCCCTGTCCCTCCATGCTCTTGTCCWAACTCCCTCTCCAGCTTCTTCCAGAMAAAATTCTCTCCCTGCCAGAAGCAGCAGCATGAGAATAACACCTTTCCCCTTTCCCAGGGAGCTGAAGCACAGGTCCATGAAGCTGCCCAACGAGCCCAAATTCAAGCTCCATGACTACGTGAAGAAGGAAGTGCGAGGCTCAGGCTGCTGCAGGTCCTAACAGGTGTTTGTACAGAGACTCAGGCCCGTGGGCAGTGTGTGCATGTCTGTCTGTCGTGTCTGTGTCTGCCCCGAAGGCCAGCTGAGACCAGGGCAAAGGAGCAGCAGGAAAAGTTCTCTTGGATTCTGCAGCCCCGTCTCACCCATCAGCTCCAGCTCCCCTCGCTGGCATTCCCACCTGGCTCGCAGGTGGGAGGTGGGTGTTTGGGAAGGGGCTGGGGTCTCCTTCTGTGCCTGCTCTGTGAGGCTGCTGTAACCTTCCTGAGAGCCAGGGTGTGATGCAGGGGAACCAACACCTTCTCCCGGCCCAGGAGGAAAAAAGTCCTGAATTCTTTCTGGGTAGGAGAAAGTCCTGAATTCCCTTTTCTTTCCTTGTGTACCTGGAATTCAGTTGTGAGAGTCCTGGCCTGGGGTGTGCAGGAAGGGTGTTTTAAGGCAGCCAATTTTGTAGTTGTTTCTCCTGTCTGTCCATCCCTGTGAGGTGGGATACACTTCCACAATGAGGGATTCTGCTGTTCCTGCAAAGACAGAGCTTGGCTGTCTGTCCGAGTGAGCTCCTGCACACCTGGCTGTGTACAGAGATTTCTCAATGTTCATCTCTTCAGGAAAGGCTCTGGTTCTCCCCCTTCTGCTGTTTCTAGTACTTTGAGAAGAAACCTAATGTATTGCAGCTTATTCTAAATACCTTCCTGTAAGTGTGATGGTGTTTTCAGACTGCAACAATGCTTTGATATCTTCAAAGTTCTCCTGGGCAGCTTTCTTTTCACCGCAGAGAGCTGGGGGGAAGCTGCAGGCAGTGATTTTACAGGCTGCAGACTCCTGCCAGCTCTCTTCAAGGGCCTCCTCACCCCTTTGGTCTGTGTCAGGCTTTTGGCTGTTTTTTTGTCAAGCTGCACTTCTAAGTACAAATTTGAATCTCGATGAAGTGTTTGGCCTTTGGCAATTTTTCCCTTTGAAAACTCCACGCACACATCAGCAGGTGCCTGCCGCACTGAGCCTTGGTGGCCTCTTCAAATGAAATAAARTAACCCATCCTTTGCCCTCCAGCCAGTGCCAGCCCCCTCAGCAGCTGACTCAGATGCCCCCACCCCTCATTTTGGCTCAAGCACCACCTTCCTGACCGGCATAAGGAGCCTTTGCAGCTCCTGTGTGCTCTGAGCTTCACTCCTTAGGGAGCTACAGCTTCACAGTGTGAAAAAAGGATCTTAAAATGGACCAATTTTTTTCCCTAAATAGTATTTTAGGGAGAGAAAAGTATTAAACTTGTCTGATTTAAATTTTAAAATCACTTGTGGAAAACCCATTCCTGCAAGAGCATTTGCATTCCTGGCAAACCCTGCTGCCAGTCCCTTAGGAGCAGCCAGKTGAGCTCTGTGATGGGGGGGCTGTCAGGGGCTCCCTCATCCCAGTAATTTGGTTTTGTGTGGGGTAGGATCAGCCTGGCAGAGGCCAGGAACARCTCTGCCCTTGGAGCAGCAACAGCCCCATCCCAAGGTGACAAGAAATGTCCCTAAAAGCAAAACTTAGGATTCGTAATGGGTTAGGATTCCTAATTCCAGGTTGCTGCCTTCCCTCTCCCTCACAGACTGGCATCTGTCTGGGAGACAAAGCTGACAACCGGTCCCTTCCTACTCAGTGTGGGTCCAAAACCAGCTAAAACTTTAAATGAGGAAGATGTAAATGTTTCCCTTTGGAGCACAACTCTGCTACAGCAGAGACCTCACAGCCATGTTTGTGGTTTAGACCCAAACTGAGCAGGCTCAGCCCCTCTCCCCCACGCACCAGTTCCCAATGTGGAACTGTTTTCCCAGTGCCTGCAGTGGCCTGGCCCCAAAGCCCCTCCTCATGGTCATTTGGGATTTTTCCATGGGCCTTTGCTGCCACCACGTGGAATTGCTCAGTGCAGCGTTAATTATTCGAGTTAATTGYTCAGTGCATCCAGCCATGTGCAAGGACTCGGCCTCACCTGCAACATCCCATTTCCGCTGGCTCTTGTTTACAGCTTTTGGTTCATTCCTGTTAATAAAATTTTTTAATAATCTCYCTGGCTACAGTGGTGTTTCGATTGTCTAAATACACAGCACTGCCACTCAAATAGTTCAGCACAGCCTTGAACCCACCTGGATCCACACGGCAGAACTGGGGAATGACCCAGTTAAGATTGGATATTGGGGGAATTTCTCCCCAAAAAGGGCTGTCCAGCCCTGGCACGGCTACCCAGGGCAATGTTAGAATCCCTATCCCCAAAGGGATGTAACAGCCATGTGGATGTGGCACAGCTGTTGGACTTGGGTCTTAAAGATCTTTTCCAACATAAGTGACTCCAAAATTCCAATGTAGGGAGTGGGGCTGTGCAAAGTGCAGCACATTTCAACACACTCCAGTTCCACTGGGTACCCACATAAAATTTCCACTCAGTCTGTGGATGGAAACTGTTAAAGATAGAAGCAAACCCCAAACTTTTCAAAACTTTATTCACCTGTAAGATACAAAATTGGCTTTATATAGAAGCCAAAGCAATACAGCAATAAAGCATTTAAAAATAAGGCTAGACTTGAGACCGGGAAAATATTATAGGAGTAACTTGTAATCTTCCACAGAGCTAAACAGAAAAAAAAGATTCTCTATCTACACACTGTAGCCGTAGAGTTCAGAGTGTAAATCTTCACTTACCACACTACTGAACCTACTGTCTGGACAGGACATTCACCTCGAACTAACCCATGAGGAAAACTCGGCGAATTCCTTCCTCCAGTCCATTCTGCAGCTGCTTCTTTGTGCTTTAAGAGCCATCTCGTTGCAGAGCTGGAGCAGCAGCGTTTCCCCGCGGGTCTCAGCCCCACTTACCGCCAACACCGGAACAGGCGACACCGTTTTACCGGCCCAGAACCCCGGGGCCTGCCGCGRATCGGGCACGGCGGCTCCGGGACGCCGCCACCGTCGGCTCTCACGTCGCGATCGGTTCCCGCCGAGCCCTGAGGGGAGAAGGCAGCGCGTGAGGGAGAGGAGTCGCACCGCCCGCCCAGCCGGGCCGCGGAACTCGCGGACCTCAGTCGTGGCTGCTCAGCAGGGGCTGCGGCCGCCCGCCGCCCTCAGACGAGGTGTCAGAAAGGTAAATGTGGATCATCACCGGCCCGCCTTCGGTAATATCCCCGTTACCGGCCCCGCTCCCGCCCAACCCGTCCAACCCCGCACCTCAAGCTGGAAAGACCGCACGTGGTCCGCGCTACASATTTTATAGSCTCTGCGACGCCGCTATTGGTCAGRCTGCTGTGGGCACAGCCAATCGTCAGCGGTTCGCGTGACCGCCGCCCCACCTCTCCCAGCGCTGATTGGCCGCCGCTCTCTCCCGTGCCAATGGCGACGCGCGGCGCAGCGTGGCCCGAGGCGGCTGTTGCCGCCGTCTGATTGGTCGCTGCAGGAGGCCGGGCCGAGCCAGTAGCAACAGTGGTTGTAGTATGGAGTGACTGTCCGCGGGGGCTGTTGGGAGTTGTAGTCCAAGCGGTGCGGCGGCACGGGCAGGAAGCGGCGCARGAGACTACAAGTCCCGAGGAGCGCCGGGCACAGCTCTTCCGGGCCGGGCGGCAGCGGGGAGCAGGCCCGGGCGCGATGTGCCGGGACCGGGCACCGGCGCTGCGGCCGCCGCCGCCGCTGGGAGGTACGGACGGGCCGGGGAGAGCCGGGCGGGCCGCGCCGGGCGGCTCCGTGACGGGAAGGGCCGGGTCGGGTCGGGCTGGGCCGGGGGCGCTGGGCCGCGGTTCGGGGAGGTGCCGGTGAAGGATCCCGGGGCTGGCCCGTGTCCGCCGGGTGTGTCTGGGGGTGCCAATGGATCTGTCGGGGCGCTCGGAGGAGCTCGAGCATTATCTGTGCTATTTCGTCCTCGGTGAATCCCGCCCGGGTCTCGCTCACCGTCCCCACTGCCCTCCCGGTGTGTTCGCTGGGTCTCAGCGCAGGCTTTGCTGAGCTTTGTCTTTTTCTGCTTAGTTTTGTCGTTTTCTGCTCTATTCCTTGTYCGACCGCGGCACGTGTTGCTGCTGGTTCTCTCTTGCCCTCCCAGTAACCTCGTTTCCCTGGGCTTTGGTCCCAYAATATACAGAATATGCGATATCTGGGGGTAGATCTCCGCAGCTATCCCAGAACATTTGCAGATCTGGATCAGGCAGCGGATTTTGAATTGTGCCCTCTTCTCATTTCAAACGAGCTCTTGGGGCTCTGTCCCCTCCCGCTGTGGCCCCTGTCCTGGTGACAGACGCTGTCAAACGCTTTGCTCCAGTCTGATCCGTGAGCTGATGTGCTGGGAAGGGCAGTAGGGAGGATTTTCTTTGGATTCAGCTTCCTTTTGAGCACTGTTGGGGTCAAACACAGCGACTCTGTGCTACTGGGGGCTGGTGAGCGTTAMAAGAGCTGCGTTTTGTGTGTCCAAAACCCACCAGGTCCAGGCTGCTGTCCATGCCAGGGTGTAGCTGGGTTAAGAACTGTGACCTAGCAGTTGTTTTTTCCACTTTGGCAACGTTGCTTTGCCTTTGTTTCAATTCCAGCACTCTAATTTTGCCTCCCTGTGCATTTTCCCCGCAGGGATGTGTTTTCAGCCTGTGCTGAGCAGTTGGGTTCCTCTTAAACAGCTGCTGCATTTTGGCCTGGAGTGTTTGTCAGTGGTTTCAGCTTCCAGCCACAGCGAGGATGGTGGGGCTGCAGGAGAGGGCTTGGGGGTGAAGGATGGTTCCAGAAATGACTTGATGAGTAAAAGTAGTATAAGATCACAAAATCCCAGAATTGTTTAGGTTGGAAAACACCTCCAAGATCATCGAGTCCACSCAGTGTCCGTCTGATCCCCATCTTGTCACCAGCCCAGGGCACTGAGTGCCACATCCACTTCCAGGGATGGGCACTCCCTGGGCAGCCCCTTCCAATGTTGAACAACCCCTTGCATGRAAAAAATCCTYCTGATGTCCAACCAGAGCCTTCCCTGGCAAGGAAAATTCCTAAAATCACGCAGGAAGCTGCGGGAGCAGGGATTGTCTGCAGTCTGCTGGATTCCCTCCAGGCCCTGGGGTCCCCTGTCTGGAGCAGAGAAGGTTCAGGGTGAATCCACACAAAAAGCTCTGGTGTTGGGGTTTGGTTTGTGTGCAGGTGACCCTGCCCTGAGGGAGGGAATGCTTTATYCTGTGGAAGTGGGAAAGCTGAGCCAAAGTGGTGTTTCCAGTCAGGGGACGCTGGTACCTTCACTGCTAACACTCAAACGGGGATTTTTGTGATATTGCTTGGACTCAAGGAAGCTAAAAATCCCCAATCCATAGTTTTCAGGCGGTTTGGTTCCCTGATCCAGGGGATCCCAGGGTGGCCTCTCACCAGACCATTCCATCATAGCTTCTGATGGACTAAAGCCTCATGTGAGGCATCACAGGGCAGTTTTTGTGTCCCCTGGCTGAAGTCAGCCCTTCCCTTCCCAGGGCTCCACAATCCCAAGGTGCTGCTGGAGCCTCGGGCAGCCCTGCAGGCTCTGGGATATCGCTGAGCACCTTGTGCTGGTGCTGGTGCCAGCTCTGCCCTGTGCCTGGGGATGGTCCTGGGCACTGCTGAACACTTTGCAGCCTCAGTAGGGTTCAGCCATGAGTTGTCTCGAGGGCTGAGCATTCAGCTGTTCCCAGGGWCCTTCCAAGCCCTGCTGGCCCTGACTGTGGGATTTCCTGGAGTGTGACTGTACCTTTCTCAYCGCTTATCTCAGCCAAGCCCAGGTGTGCCAGGAGGAGTGCACAGGAGAGAAAATCCTTCCTGGATTCAAATACTTGAATTGTGTGGCCATATGTTCAGGCTGTTGGAACTCTTCCCTCCTGCTTTTTTTTCCCTTTGCTGTCCCTTCCCTGCCTGTGCCCCTTTGCCATGGGAATGGTGAGGCACACACCAGCACATCCCTGTGCCCGTGGTTGGATCTGGGGGTGTAGTGGGCAGCTACAGGAAGGAGGCAGCTGGCTGCTCACAGGGGTGTGTGTCACCCTTCTTAGAGATCAGCAAGTCCTCCTGGAGCCCAGGGCAGCAGCACCCCAAATTACCCATTCAGGCTGCTCGTGCTCTGCCTTCAGCACAGCTCCAGCTGGGAGCTTCACCAGAGTCACCTTCCTGCTTTTAATGTTCAGRGGGCTGGAGTGGGGCAGTGCCTGCTCCTGGGAGAGCCTCAGCTGTGGGAGGGGGTGTCCTGGCAGTAGAAATCCCCCACCATCAGTGTCTGTATTTCAGGCAAGTCCTGCTCCCCACCTCTTCCTTTTTGTGGCAGTTCTTAGCTAACTGGCTTTCCCTGGATTGTCCCTCCAAGCAAAGACCRYGTTGCTGTTTGTTRTTCAGAAWTCTGAATAGTTTGAAACYATAAAGAGAGTGAGAAACTCAAACTCCCCTTAAAGCAAGCRAAGGACTTTTCTGTCTCTGGAACTTGGTCCAATCAGGGCAATAAATCCATGTGTGCTAAGAGAGGGTTGTTTTTCCTGCACTAAACTGAACCCGGAGCAGCCGGGGCAAAGCTGGGAGGCAGCMTGGAGATTGGCTGAGCTGTGGGATTTTCCAGCTGGATTTACATATCGCCCACTGCTCCGCATGCCTTTGTGTTTACATCACTGGGGAGCGATCCACACACGCACACACATAGCGGAAGAGGCACTTTGGCCGAGGGAAAGCCTGTCCACAGCTCAGCAACTGGGCATGGTGGTGGCATCTTGCCGGGCTCCRCTGCTCCGGGATGGCCGAGGGTGAGTTTCCTCCAAGGAACAGCGTTTGCTCCGGGTGCTGGGTGTCAGGCTGCCGGCAGCATTCCAGGGAAGCTGCTCTGCTTCAGCAGTGAGGCAGGAACAGTTTTTTTTTTTATTCCAGGAGATACCTGGAAGCCAGCACCACTTTGGAAGTGGGTGCCTGTGGCCTGTCCAACAGCTGGAGCTCTGTTATGCTCATTTTATGATCCTTCAGAGTGACCTTTGTGAGGACGTGGAATGCTTGATTGCAGCAACCCAGTGAGTGTGTTCTGAGGTTGTTCTGCTGGTTTCAGAGGTGGGAAATCCTCGATAYTCCTTAGGCAGAGTTGTGAGCACAGAAGCTGAGTTTATGAGGAGAGGTGGTGTCCCGCTGCCTCCCCTGGAATTCTGAGTCACCCTCGGGAGAGAGTTCAATCCGTGGTGTTTGGGGGTTGTGGGATGCTGAATGGTACTTCTGTCTCAAAGCTGTCAGTAGATTTGCCATGGTGGAAGTGTCCACATCCACTGATTTCTTTTGGAATCAAGGATTTGGTGCCTGCWTCTCCCAGGATCACTAGTTTGATCRATGAGTTTTGGTACMTATGTGGTGCCTCCTGCTTGTTCTCAGTGGCATAGTTCAAGGAAATTGTACTAAAAAAGWGCAGGTGACTGGAATTCACTGGGGTTTTTTTTATGAAGAAGATGATGCATTTCAGCTGTTTTTTTGAAGTGTTCTAGTTGCATCCAGAGGGCAGAGAAGAGTATGTGTCATGAGGTGTCAAAGCTTTGGAGGATGTTGGGGGGAACAGGGGGTGGAAGTGATACTTTGCGCTTTTTGAGTCATGCCTATGGGCTCAGGTTTCCTATGACTTTAATCTGGAAGAATCCCATAGTGTGGTGGGGTGGTTACAGCTTTCCAGAGGATGCAGTGCAGCCAGCCATAAGGCAGAGCAGCAGGAAAAGGCTTCAGCTGTGGCACAGGAATTGAGGRATGAGGGAGAAAGAGGCTTTGATTGCTTTGTGTCCAGCAGGACTCCAGGAGAGCAGAACCCAGGTGAGACAAACATCCCTCTGGCTTCCTTGGGAGAACACAAACCAAACTTTCCATCCCCCAGGCTTTGCTGCTTGTCTTCCAAGGGTTTTCAGTTGAGTTGCAAGCCCCTCTACTTACCATATTTGCAGCAGGGAGACCAAGAGCAGAGTTGAGCCAGTCCGCAGGACCCTGTGGGGCCTTGGCAGCCACAGGTTCTCTCTGTCAAACAAGTCTGAGGAGCACSAGTTGTGGTGTGAGTGGCGTGGGTGACTGTTCTCAGCTTCTGGAGTGTGATACCTTCCATCAACATCTGCCTTGCACMGAGTTGGCCATTCCCTCCTGAGGAACTGAAGCAGGGCTGAGATTTTTGCCTTGCAGGGAGAAGATGTTGTTGGTTTCAGGGCTTGGTTATTCTTTTTCCTTCACCCAATCCACCATTTAATAATGTGATGGTCTCAGAAGGGATCTGCTCTTTGAGGGAGAATGTGGAAGAGCACAAGCTGTGAGAGGCACAGCACGCAGCTCTGCAGTGGCAGAGCCAACTTTTAAAGCACCTTTTGATTAAGGTCCTTGTGTGGCAGAACTGTGAATGTTCCTGTTCCTGCCCAGCAGTGACTGAGGAGGTGCTAAGCTCACACAGGACCATTTTGGTTGCAGGGTCAGAACTGTTGAGCCCTGGGCTGCATAACAAAAATGGTCTTGTAGRTGGATCCTTCCAGGTTACCTGAAATGGAAATAAAGCTTCAAATGTAGCTTTTGTGTCATGGAACAGCACTGAATATTGGCCTCTGTTCTAACTTCTAATTTCATTTTTTCTGGGAAAATTGAGATGCTTCGTTTCAGTAGAGCAATCACTTTTGATCCAGCTATGGAGACATTTGAAAGTTAYAGCTTCACGTTTTAACATGAAGTATTGCAAAAATTCCTCTGTCCCAAGGCTTCATTATCCTTTGGGAAAAGCACCATATGAAATGCTTTTTCTTTCTGAACTCCATTTGTTCAAAGGTATGGCAGTGTTCAAACAGCTGTTGAATGTGCTCTCACAGCCCTGCAGTCAGTGGAAGCACTGGTAAAAGTAGCAGCAATTAAAAATATCCCTTTTATTTTTATTGATGAYGGCTCAGTACAATTATGGTCTCACTGTAAGACGCTCAGAAAAGCTGGTGTGACATATAAGAAAAACTTATAAACAGTAAAGAGACTGTTCCACAGATTCATCAGATGGAGATGCCATGTTCTGCCAGAAAGGCTGAACTTCTGTTCATGTTTTATGTCTTCCTGTACTGACTGACATCTAAAGAGTGTAAGAAATGTTGTGCTGGGTCAGATCTTTTAGATTTTAGCTCATCCACAACCTCTTTGTCTCCTTAGTTTTGTGGGGTTTTTCTTAAGTTCTTCACCACCAGTGTGGTATTGACTGCTCGGAGGAGCCAAATGTCAGCTCAAAGGTGGTGATTTCAATGCTGGCTTTTTCTGGGCATCTTCAGCTGGGAGCTGGAACAACTGACTCAGCAGTGCTGCTTGGCCTGGTGTTCCTGAGCTGAGGAGTGACCGAGGGCTCCAATGTCTGCTTCCTGTCCTGTGATAGACTCGAGAGGTGTCTGCTTCAGGGATCTGCTGCAGCTCTGCATTCTTACAACCTGTGCCGTGCAGGTCAGACCAGATGCCAATAGTCCCCGTCACCCTGAGGTGCTGATGGTCACAGAATGGTTAATTAGCCCACAAAGTCACCCTGCACCCTTGGCACCTGCGTGCCTTGCCCTTGTTCCATGAAGCTGTCGGAGCTTTTGTCAGAGTATTTCCCTGGGGGTGTGCCAACACTCTCAAGGATGTGTAACCCTSCTTGTTTTGCGTGCAGTGTTGTAAGAGGAACAGAAGCTCGTGTCTTATGCCATAAATACCCGGGCTGTGAGATAAGGAAGTTCAACGTCAGCCAGAGGCTGCTCCAGCCAGGGCAGGGTAACCCACGACTGCATTTCCCACAGCAAACACTCCTGCTGCGGGACAATTTGCCAGCCCAGCAGTTTTCCTGGGGGTGAATAACCTTGGAGAGAGCTTAAGTGGGCAGAGAGAGGGGAAAGGAAGAACCAGCAGGTGTAGGACCGGTGACTGAGCCCCTCAGAGTGGCTGTTGTGTGAGGTGGAGGTGTTGCTGGTGTGCTCTTGGCAAGGTGACTCTGTGCCATGTGGGACTGCCAGCCACTCCCTGCTGTGTCACATCTCCCTGCATGCCCATGGCTCTCCCAAAGTGCAGCCAGAGCACAACCCCAGCAATGCCAAAGTGTCAGTCCTGCCCTGGGAACCAGCTCCTGATTGGGATGTTTGTGAGGAATGGGCTACTCCATCCCTTCTCCTCTGCCATGTCCTCTCTCAAGTCTTGGCTTTGGGGTTGGTCAGGATTTTCAGCAGGGTTTTGGGAATAGCCAAGGGGGTGTATGCACGCTCTGGGGCAGAGGGGAGGGAGGGCAGACCCSTGAGGGGTCCCACCAGACCCCAGGACTCTAGAATTAGCCAGGCCACTGGTCCTGATTCTTCTGCCATCTTTGGGGTACAGTCTCGGGGTGATCCGTGGCTGATCCTCTTGGATCTCCCCTCAGCAGTGGGGAKGAAGAGCACTGCTTGCTCCTGCAGCTGCCACTGCAGCTGCTGGTGGTTGGGTTTTTCCTTGCCTGGATTACTACAGTAGGATTTTGAGGCTTTTCTTCTCACTGAGTCTCAAAAGCCTCGAGTTGATCCCTGTGATGTGCAAATTCTGAAACCTATCCCTGCCCCCCCTCACATCTGGTTATGATCAGCTGTGGGAATTACTGAATATTGGGTCCCCACARCTTCCTTTTCCCAGGGGAGATTTCCCCCCACTCTTTGTTTACTGTAAAAAAAAAACACTGATGTTGCATGTTAAAAAATGAAAAAAAAAAAAAGTAAATCCAGGCAAGGAGAATTTGGATCGCAGGCTGGCTTCCCAACACTAACCACCCGTGAGGGACACTCATCCTCCAGGCCTGGGAGCACAGGACAGTGCAGCTGGCGGGGTTCAGATGCCAAGCAAAGGTGCAGAGATCTGGTACAGATTTTTGCAAATGCTGTAGGAAGCTGGCATTAATGTTGACAACATCAGCTCTTTTCTGCCTCCTTTTAAATTCTTTGATATCAGTTGGAAAAGGTTCTCAGATGGAAAGTAAGGTGTGAGGAGCTGTCAGACAATRCTCTGGAGAGGTGTCTGCTCTGCTKAAATGCTCCTGTCTGTGGTGGGTGCAGAGATTTGGGCTGAAATCAGATATTGCTGTGACAGCTGGGGTTTTGCAGCCAGCCTGATATTCTGCTCAACATTTTTTCCATGGCTCGCATTCCTCTGGTCTCTGCTCAGAGCAGACAYGAGCAGGCTCCCTGCTGCTGCTGCAGGTACCTTGTTCAGCCAAGCTGCAAGCACAGGTCATGCTTATAAACAGTGAGTGGAAAATCCCTGTATTCCACATTTCCTTCCTCCCTTTGGATTTAGTGAGGGTTCCCAGGCGGGGATTGAAGGGTCATTGCAGTGGCTGCAGTCACAGTTTGTGGCACATCTGATCCGATGTTTAAGGATATCACAGAACTCCTCACGCTGTCAGTTATCCCCATTTTTGTTTTTCCCTGTCTCTGAGTGTTTCCCGCTGCTTGAGTSTCCATCTGTTACATCTGAAGGTGATACATACCCTGCAGATGAGGAGGGAATGAAGCTCTGCCTGAGTCTCCAGACAGCCCACGATCCTCCATCAGGATGGGCTTCCTCTCTTTCAGAGGAAATGACTGTTTGCCCTAAAACCCAARAGGAATATTTGATATGCAGGGTTCCCCTAACACTGACATGGCTGATGAAGTGGGAGCATATCCCTGCTCCTGCCTTTGAGGAGTGCAGGATAAAGGGTGTGTGGGTAGGTGTTGCTGAGGTTCTCTGAAAAAGGAATCATGGATTTGTATCCCTGGAAAATGGAACATTTTTCTTATTTCCACCCAACAATGGGAGGATGACAGTGCTGAATCCCTTTCCCAGAGGAGAGTGGTGAGCCCAGCTGTACTGCTAGATGTAGGGAACCTGTGGAGAGGSGAATTTTAGGGATACACATGTTAGTGGACATGAGATGATGCAGCCTTGAGATGGGGAATCCCAGGAGATGTGGCAGTTTGTGCCATCACTTCTGGAAGTACTTGCTTTGCTTAATTTATGAGCACTGCATCATCTGGAGACCCCAGCAGGAGACCTCTCATCTTCAGGTTTTGTAGCTGAAGAGAGGAATCTTCCCCTTGTGCAGAAGGGGGAACTTTGCCGGGAGGAAGCCGAGGGCTCCAGTGGCTCATCCAAGGCTACCAGAGGGTCAGTGGGGTTCAGATCCCATGGGGCCATGGCCAGTGTCCCAAAACCTTTGTCTGCCCTTTTCTACCTCACACCCTCCCGGTTTACCCCGCTCTCTGTGCCCTCAGGAGCACAGACAGGAATTAAAGGATCCAATGGCCAAAGCCAAACTTCTGGCTTGCTGGAGCTCAGCTTTAAACTCTGCAGGTCTCCCTGATGCAGCAGCACAGCTCTGCTTCATTCCTGCTGCTTTTGACTCAGCTCCAGACTCTGTGCTCAGCATCTCCTCAGGGATCTGGCATTTGCAAGCAGCCAGGACTGTGCTGTCACGTGTGTGGAAAACATTATCCAGATTGCTGTTTTCAGATGGTTTTGGGTTTGGTTTCAGGGTTTCTGTTTGSTTGGTTTTTCTTTGGAATTTTGTTTTTTATGATTTTTGATTTTAGTGAGAGAGTTTAATTCTCTTCTCAGGATTCTGCTGCTGCTGCTCCTGGCTGCCTGACAGCTGTTGGATGCAGAGCTGCAGGGAGCACCAGGAAGTGCTGTGTCAGGCCCTGAGCAGAGCCTTGGTTGAGGACAGCTCCAGCATCACCTTTGCAGTGTTTAAAATGCCTGTGCAGGATGTCCCCAGCCCTGTGTGCTAGGGCTCTCCAGGGAAATGGGAATCCCGGGATAAATCCCAGGTCACAGCTGTGGGGTGGGATCCTGTCTCTCTTTGAGCCTCACTTACCCTTTCTGTAAAGTGGAGAAATCACAGTGGTGTTTTTCTAAAGAGCTTGGWGGTTTAGGACTTGTCACCCTCAGATTAGAGAAAACCAAACTCAGTGCTGGAAACACCTGAGACACTTCACCTCCCCGTTTTTCTCTGAGGGAAACTCCTGCCTGAGCCACGAGCATCCCTGTGATGGCAGAGGAGCTGCAGCTCCTTCCTGAGGGTGTCCTGGCTCTGAAGGAGATTGAGAGCATCTTGTCAGATCTGCTGGGACAGCAGCATAATTGTGCCCTGAAGCAGCATCAAGTTTCAGCAGAGGTCAAAGAAAGCAAACTCCATGTGTTTCTGCAGATTATTGTGAAATTCTTGGCTTTGCAAACTTGAGCCTAGTGAAACAGCAGAGGGAGAGAAATGAGGCTTTTATTAAAAGATAATCATGTATTWAAAAAATGCTGAACACTCATCCAGGAATGATTTGAAGGAATCTGACTTTGTCSTCGCCTCTTGCTTCTGAAAATCCAGGTTTATGTGAGTACAGGTAAACACCTGGGCTTAATGCTGCAGGAGACTGTTCTCTGAGCCCAGGAAAATACACCCAGTGAGCCTCACTCCCTTTGTGTCCTTCTTCCACAGAGCAAGCTTCCCATGATTAACAGATGCTGGCCTAGATTATGAGCTCAAACAAGAACGCTCGCTACAATCGTTTCTCCAGTGGCACAACAAACATCACTACTTCTGAAAACACTAACGGGGTAAGGCCACTGCTGGTGGCACGGGGAGGGGACAGGGCTGCTTGCTGTGTTCTCATCCTTTCTTTTGAAATATRGTGTTTTCTTGCCACTTGAAATCTCACTATTCACAGATAAAAGTTGGGAATGTATGCAGTATTTCACCAGCTAAGACAATGTCTGGAGGCTTTAAATGCCCTGACATTCATTTTTTTCAATATTTCAGACAAGAATGGAAACAACTTTTGGACCAGCCTTCTCCGCTGTGACCACCATCACAAAGCGTGAGTATTTCATGTGTACAGTGTCTCCCCAAAGCACTGTGTGTGATCCCAGGGTGGTGGATGTTGTTTTACAGATCATAAAGCTGTTGGGAGAATCCCTGTGGTCATTAACCAGGTGCTGAGGGGCTGGGTTTGGTGTTATGCAGCCCAAGTGTCCTGACATGATGGAAATGAGCAGGCACAGGAATTTCCTCCCTCAGGCAGACTGAGCAGTACCACTGTGAAGCCCTTGCTGAAARCAGAGTAGTTCAGCAGGGTTTGAGACTGAGCTCAGCACCAAATCTTATTGATCCCTGTGACAATCATCACCATTGCTGAACATTTTCATCTTCCCTCTGTGCCTGACTGTGAGTCACTCTGGAGCTTTGGTAAAACCCCRTGGCCATTTTTTGCTCAGACAGGAGGGGATGCAAATGTCCCTGCTCATTTAGAATTCCTGTGCCTTGTTCCTCAAAGCTCAGCAGGTGAGGGGAGCCTGAGCCCTGGCACGTGGGGTGAATGTAGGAAGAGGCCTGATTTCATTCTGGAATACAAATATCCTTCCTTTAATAGAGACAAAAAGGCTTGACACTGATTTGGATAAGGAAGTGAACATCTGCCCGAGAAAAATATTTGGATTACATTTGTACTGGTCTCTGGATGGTTTTGGACTCCTGAATATTTACATTCAGACTTTTATACGAGTYAGTAACATGATCTCTATACAAATATCTCATATTTAATTTAGCATGCCTCCCCTGTGCCTCAAGAATATCCAGACCTCCCTGGATYCAGGCCATTTTTATTGATGACTGAGATTCATGAGAGTATAAAGTTTCCTTTTAATAGTATTTTTAACCTGTGGACCTGACAGAATATTACCTGTGTTCTTTTCTGGGCAATCTCTCAGAGATCAGGGTTGTTCTGCCTGTGCTGATATATCCATTCAGGAGCCAGCATTGTAGAACCCTTAATCTTTTTCAAGCTACAGAGGCTAACCTATAGCTWGGAAATGTTTCTGAGGAGCCTAAATGCTTGTTTTTCTCTTTTAACTCCCTTTAAAGCTGAGGGGACCAATACTTTCAAGCAGCACCGTCGGACCCCGTCCTCCTCCAGCACGCTCACCTACTCCCCACGGGATGAGGACGATGGCATGGTAGGTGTTGCCAGGACCCTTCTGACTGGCTTAGCTGATTAGATATGGAATGAGAGGTGTCTGGAGCTCCTCTGGACTCCTCTGTCTCCCTCATCATTCCTGTTCTCTGTGTTACATGTGCCCCAGAGGCAGGACCAGCCTCAGCATTGCTGGCTGCTCTCATGGTTGGTGCCGTGGGGAAGCAGCTCACTCTGTCCTGGGCTTTAGCTGGAGCTGCTGGTGCTGCTTTTCATGCTGCTTGAAATCGTTACGTGGCTCCAAAGGCCGGGAACTCCAAATCCCACAAGCTCCTTGTGAGAGCAGAGAGCTTGGAAGGAAACAGCCCCTGCCAGGGATGTCTGGGCTGTGGCTGGGGCCAGGCTCTCTCCGGGTTGGATGGATCCCAGCTGGCTCTGCAGTTATTGCCATGGAATCCATTCCTATTTTCACCTCCAGATGGGGCTTCTGACCACAGGGAGTGGGTTTGGAACCTGCAGAGGGGGATGTTGGACTCTACGGGTTGTGCTGGGCTTCCCACATTCACCATTMCATGTCTCCCAGTATCCTGGTGGAAAACCAGTTTTCAGTTTTGTGTCCAGCTTTCTCATTCACTTCTGAGCCAGTTCTTTTTGAGRAACTTAGTGATTCAACAGGCTTCAGGGTTAGCTGCTTGGAGAGAAATTAAACCAGTTAGATCAATTAAATCAAGAACAGCAATAGCAAAGCAAATTTTGGTAAAAGGTTGGACAGCTCCGAGGCTGGACCTTCTCCTGTCCCTGGTGCTCCAGCCACATCTCACAACCACAAGCTCTGTTTAGTCAGGTTACAAGACCCAATTTCTGAGCCAGGCATAAATGGATCACTGCTGCTGGAGTCAGGCACTGGAARACTGGGGTCAGCAACAGTATGGAGCTGCAGCACTTCTTAAAATAAATTTGACACCAGATTGCAAAGAATTTTATTGTCAGCATCCTATAAAGTTCCTTCTGTTGCTCAGAGRTCTTGCTGTGTTTTATGTGAGCCCGTGGGGGTTTTGTTTGTTGTTGGTCTTTTTTCTAACGAGTCCTTTGAAAGTTTGCCTGGTGTCCTTGGCAARTGCAGCTCTCCAGCCCACCACTGACCCCATGAGCTGAGTGTTCAGGCCACCCCTGGCTGTCAGCACTGACCCGTGGGCTGAGTGCTGAGCTCACAGTGCCGTTTTCATGAGCTGGGCAGTTCTCACCAGGCTGAGGGGAGGATTTTTCCAGAGGAGGAGATTCTGTGGATGTTTCATTTAGCCAGATCTGATGAAGAAAATCCCTGGTTCCTTTGAAAATGCCGCTGTCACAAGCTGGGGTGTACAGCCAAGAATGGGGGAGATCTCTGCTGGGAGCCAACTTCAATCCTCTTGGGCAGTGTCAGCCCACTTTCCCTGGAGTGTTAAATATTCTTTAACAAAAACAGTGAGAAGATTAATGAGTGATTCAGGAAGCAGTGTGAGGTGCTGACAGACCAGAACCGCCCCTGCCCTGCTCTGCGTGCTGCTCCAGACAGACTCACTAAMCCTCTTAGGAAGCTTCATTTGCTTTGTCAAGAAATAATCTGGGATTTCCCTTCCTCATCACTGAGTTTTCCCTCCTCCAGAAGCTGCCAAAGACTTCTCAGGCATCAGAGAGACAGYTGGAGACGAGTCAGAGCCCTCCTGTGACCTCCACCACCCCTTTTTCTTTCCTTCTAAAGCTGCTGTTAATAAAATAAAAGCAGAGCAGCATGTTCTGTGTGCAAGGCAGGGATTACTGAGTGGCTGCTGTCATCCTTCCTGAATGCAGTGCCACAGGTTCCCACCTTGCTGTGCTGACATGGAGCAGGAACCAGGGCTGGGCTGGAGCCTTCAYCTGGAGGCTGCTTCTCTAGCTGGGGTGATGGGAGCTGCAGCTAAAGATTGCAGCTGAATGTTGGAACAAATGGGTGCTATGGGTAGAGGCTGCCTGGCTGTTGTTTACGGGGAGCTTCACCTCTGAACCAGAGGCTGGATTGAATTACCTGCAAAAAAATCTCYATCTTCCATCAGATGTGTGAGTGTTCCATCCTCAGGCTGTGTGAAGGTGTGCCTGATGTTTAGTGCAGAARTAAGGTCTCTTGAGTTTTATCCTTGTTTGCTTGGCAGAATGAAGGCTGCAGATAGCTGGAGGGTCTGGAAATGCCAGCAAACCCTGTGCCATTCCCTGTTGTCCCCACAGCAAAGGGGGAGTGAGGAATCCTTTTCAGCACACCCCCTTCTCTCCTGTGCAGTTAACACCAGCATTTCCCAAACCAGGACACAGGGAGCTGAGCCCACAGTTTTACACAAACCTTCTGTGTCTGTCTCACACCCCTGCCTCCTGGAAATGCTGCAATCCCCCCTCTCTGTTGGTGATCCTCACTGATGTTGCTGGTGACAAACCTGCCTCCCTGCAGAGCCTGCCTTTGCTGTCCTCACCCCCCGTCACCTCCACAGTGGGAACTATGCACAGTCATTCTCCTTATTTTAATAACTTCGGTTGCTGGTGGAGGAAAATAATAAAATGAATGRATGCACATAAAATAACCTCATTATAACCATTCCTCCTTAAGGTTTACATATTTAGTCAATAAATAGGCTGTCTTTAAGGGAAAGAGAATTGTGCTTTGGCTTCTAAGCAGATGCAGCATTTCTGAGTTCCTGGGAGCCCAGGGTCATAAAAATGAAGCAGTAGAGCAGTGTGAGGGACYAGCAGGATCCTGGTCTGCTCCTCTTCTGCAGCCCAGCCAGGCTGCACTGGGACTGCAGCACACTTTGTCTGTGGGGAAGGCAGCAGCCTTTGAACCTCATCTTGCAGCTTTCATTGCTGAATTTCCTGCCAGCCCCACGGCCCTCCTGCATTGCCTTTGTCTGTCCTTGGGTCTGATGTCACCCACTTTCACCCAGGGCAGGCACACAGAATGCAGCTCACAAGGCTCAGATGGAGCACGAGGAGCACGTTTTGCACACTGAGTGCGGGACAGGAGCTCAGCAGAGTCTGGTCCGTGCACTTTCCCTGTTCCCACTGGGCAGTGCCTGGCCTGGGCCATGGCCAGGGACAGTCCCTGTTCCAGTGAGCAGCCAGGGATCTCCAGAGCTCCTTCCAGCCAGCACTCCTTGGAGTTGGAGACTCACATCAGCTACAGCCAAGCTTTGGAGAGGTGTGACAGGCTCAGATGCCCATCCATCATCCCTTTTCTGAAGCTTCTGGCTTCATTCTCCAATTTCTTTGTTAAAGCACCCCTTCTGCTCATTGAAGACCTTTATTCCTCCTCTCTGCACCTTACCCAGTCCAGCAGCAGCATCTCTTCCAGAGTAACCCCACAGTGGCTGCACTCCCTGGTGTGCTGAATCCCCAGATCCAATCACCCCATGGTCTGCAGTCTCCAGTTGTGCTTTGGCACCAAACAGCACCTTGGCTACTGGTTGATATTCCACCCTTGGAGAATATTCCTGGTTAATATTCCAGCAGCAGCATTGCCCCAAAGCCAATCCCAAGGCCGCTGGAGCCAGAGGGATTTCTGTGGATTGGTGCATTGATTGTCCGCTCTGCTCTCCCCTCCCGAGCAGGAAGCAGCAGAGCCGGGCTCACAGAGAATTCAATAGAAGGAAGTCTCCACACTTACGCAAAGAAATTTGGCAGAAGTTAGATAGCGAGTGCAACAACAAGTGCTGCTGCAGAGATTAGAGACATGGCAGGAGCTGGAGCAGTCTCTGGGGGAGATTTACGGAGCTTTCCATGAAGGATTAATTCTTCCAGACCGTTGCTTTGCGGGTGTGCACGGTAAGTGTGCAGGGAATGCACCTGGGAGAAAGTGATGTGCTTGGAATTTCTACATCAACCTGGTTTAGGGAGTTAAACCTGAGTGATTCCCATGTCTGGGCACGGTGCAGGGAAGGGCACACAGCAGCAGGGCCATTCAGTGCAGCTGGGAATGGAGCAGCTCAGTGTTGTGGAGGGGGAAAACTGAATTTGAAGGCTTTGCATGGAGTTTGGGAATTATTTGCACTGACCAGAGCTGCTCTGTGTCCGCAGCCTCCGATCAGCACCCCGCGCCGCTCCGACTCCGCTATCTCCGTCCGCTCCTTGCACTCCGAGTCCAACATGTCCTTGCGCTCCACGTTCTCACTCCATGAGGAAGAGGAGGAGCCAGTAGGTATTTGGGATTGTCTGAAGGAGCAGGATTAGGAAGTTCAGTGTCAAAAGAGTGACTTGGAGCACTGTTGTGAGTACACAGAGCTCTCAGGGACAGTTTTTGTTCAGTGCTTGGCTCAGACTGCTGCTTTTAACTTTGTTTCCACCACTGACTTTGCTTCCTTATGTACCATTTCCCTCCCTGGAAAGCGAGGATAATGGTGAGGCTTTTCTGCTTCCCAGAAAAACTGTAAGTCTTTGCAAAGTCCTGTGTGATTGCCTGGCCTTGCAGCAGAGCAGGGCAGGTTGCAAGGGTTGCAGGCTGGTGGTCTGGCCCCAGGCAGAAAGAGAAATACAATTGCCCATGAATTTGGAGACCCATCCCCATTCAGGGYTAAGTGGCACCCCACTGACTTGATTGTAAGTCCCAGGAGGGTGCAAGGAATTGCCTGCATGTTGGGGGAGGATGCTTTTAAACAGAGCTTAGCTTGTGACCCAGTAACTAACCCAAAAGTCGATGAATAAAAGGTCAGGTRGCGTTCTGCCACTGATCTGGGATAAGTGTTTTTCATATTTAGGAACCCAGGGGGCTGTGTTTGCATTTCTGAGAGCAGCACAGGATGAAAAGATAGAGCAAAGTACAGAGATTGATTGGAAATGCTCTGAAATGTGAGCATGGAGAGCTGTGGTGCTCCGGGAGGACATGCTTGGAGCCCTGGAGAGCTGTGGTGCTGCAGGATGATGTGCTTGGGGCCCTGTGCTGGCAGTCCTGGTTGGTAAACAAAACTGGAGAGATGGGCCCACTGCAGTAGAGACAACGTTGTTTCTGTTTCCTATGGGAATGAAGGAGCCCTTCCTTGAAAAAATTTCAAAAACACAAGAGYGCAGGCTGCTTTAAAACTGCTTTTAAACTCAGGCTTAATATATTTTTGACAACTCTTTGTTCAGTCTGACCAAGCACAAAGTCCCCGCCAGTGCAGCTCATGCAGTTGTGGTGACTTGAATCATTGCAAAGAATTTGGTCTGTGCAGTTTGCTGTCAGGTCCTGGCAGACACTGGTGATCCCCAGTTGGTGATGAGCTGAGGGTCTCCAGCCATTCTCAAGTTCATTCTTCCCCTACTGGAACTCAGCAGATCCAGACCGAATTTTCTGTTGACATAATGAAATCCTCAGTTTGCCCCAGGCTCCCTGAGGCTCACCATGGAGGGGTTTTGTTATTCCTTCTGCAGCACTGGAGGCTCTTGGTTTGGACTAACCCATGCTGTCTGTGTCCCTTTGTGTGCCCTGCAGGAGCCCCTGGTGTTYGCAGAGCAGCCGTCCGTGAAGCTGTGCTGCCAGCTGTGCTGCAGYGTGTTTAAGGATCCCGTCATCACAACCTGTGGGGTAAGGCAGAGCCCTCCCAAATATCCTGTGTGAGACAGAGCCAAGCCTGGACTGTCCCCACTGCCTCTCTCTGGGGACTGTCAAACCTAGGGCTTGTTTAAAATGGGGTGGCATTTCCCAGGAGAGCTGTACTGTCTGCCACGCTGTCTCCTTGCTGTGGCTTCCATGGGGTCTAAAACTCCTTCTGAAGGGCTCTGCAGGAGCTCTTGGGCACCCCAGGAATGGCTGTGCTTCAGTTGTGAAGGAAGTGTTGCTTATAAAAAAAGAAGGGCTTGAAGCTTCATTTAGTTAATGCTTGTAAAGGGATTTGAGATCCTCAAATGAAAGGCATGGRGTATTATGAATATTCTTCTGGATTCCATTTTACTGGGATTTAATAGAAGCTGTATATTATTCCTGCTTCTGTGCTGCTTGTGAAGAARGATGGCTTTGAGATGGCTCTAATGCTTGTGACGTGCTTCTGATCACCAGGATGGGGCTGTAGCAACAGCAGCAGAGCTCAGGATTGTTTATTGCAGTGAGGGTGCTTTTCCCCAAAAGTGCTGGAAGCTCGTGCAGTTTGGCTGCGCCATTCCTGTAAGCAGCTCTGCACAGASACACTGAGATTTACTGGTTAATGTGGAAAAAGAACCTCTGCAGGAAGCAGCCTGGCTTCATCTGCAGTCCTGGTCTGGCAGCTCTGGAGGGAGCTCGGTGCAGCTGTGCCGGGCAGGAAAAGGCCATGGGAGCAGGGCAGCAGATAACAGCTCCAGAGAGAGAATCACAGCCCCTGCCAAGAGCTGGCCCTSTGCAGGGGGAATGTGGCTGAGGAGGCTCCAGGGAGTGTAGGGGGCAAGATCAGGAGCGGTGAAATGCTGCAGCCTTTATATTCATTAGTGTGTTAGATTGTGTTTGCTACTTTATCAAGTTAAACTGTCAGAACAGAGAGGGGAGCTATTTAAAGTGCTCAAATTTACAGAGCATTTAATGGGCTTACAAAGCAGCTGTTCCATCTGCCTGCCAGCAGGACAGGGCAGCTTCTGCTRCCTCAGGAGGGCTCCAGAGGGGTGGATGTGCTGAGCTGACTGGGCAAGGACAGGGAGAGGCCAGGCTTCCCCTTGCTCCTTCCCTTGAGGGCTTCTCAGGGGATTGAGGGGGATGACATGGGCTAAAGTGGAGGGTGAAGCAGAGAAACCCTGTGCAGATGTGGAGGGCAKGAAGGACTTGGATGTGTTCAAGRGCAGGSTGGATGGAGCTCTGAGCAGCCTGGTCTAGTGGAAAGTGTCCCTACCCATGGCAGGGGATTGRAACTTGATGATCWYYAGGATCCSTTCCAACCCAAGCCATCCCAGGATTCTGTGATCCCATGAATATCAGAGTGTGGCAGAACACGCCCCTGGCTTTGGCTTGCACCACGATGATGGTCTGATCCTGAATGGGCAGAACATCAAAGCTCCAAAATGTGTGTTCAATACTYTTGGGAGCAGGACCTGCGCTGCACCCTGAGCTGCCTGAGCAAGCAGCTGGGGTTTGCCCTGTGGTGCTGAGCTAAAACAGGCAGAGCAGCTGCTSAGGCCCCCGAGCCACAGACTTTGCTATCTCCCACCTTTCCCATTGTTAGCCACAGGGAATAATTTGCCCGCTCTCATTTTACGCTGACGCTGCTGTTCCTCTCTGTCTCCACAGCACACGTTTTGCAGGAGATGTGCCTTAACATCTGGTGAGTACRGAACTGCTCTTGTGTGATGCAGCCAAAACACTGTTATTTTCTGGTTTATTTGCTTTCACCTAAAGAGAAACCTGCAGAAAAATGTCCAAAGGGCTTAAAACAAGCTGTCAGTCAGATGTGGCACTGCAGCAATGAGGGCCTGGGGGCTGATGGTGCACACTGGAGCATGGGCACTGCAGAGAGAGCTGGGCCCTGCTCCTGGGCACAGGATGTTCTCAGATCCTGGAATATGCAATGGATAATCCCAGGATAATACATGTCTCGCCCAGAGCTGACCCACTCATTTCAGACTGAAAGCTTTCTGTGGCTGCCTGGATAAAGAACCAGGGGCCACATTCGGCATCCACCCCATCAAGCCCTTCTCTCCTGTCTCCTCAGTGCCAGGGCTCTGGCCCCTGACTGAGCCCCACTGAGCTGCTTTAGCTTACCCAGARCCCTGGGAGAGCCCAAGCCCCTGGCTGCTGGCCTAGGCTAACCAGCTCCCACTTGGGTTGGGCTCTGGCTGCAAAAAAAAAAAGACATTTCTTGGCACAAGCCTGCTCCCCTCTTGGCAARCTGTTGTTCAGCACAAAGCCAAGCCATTGGCATTACCAGAGCAGTGGGCCCTGAGGAGGCTCCCTGGGGAGTCCTGCAAAGCAGCAGCTCTTTCTGCCTTAGGATTTTTGTGTTCCATATGCAAGAGGTCCATCTGCTTTGCATGTTAATCCCCTCACCATGCTCTGCTGTACCAACCCCAGCCCACAGATCCGTAGCAAAAGGTTTTGCAGTTTTAATCCCCATCCCTGAAGTGTTCAGTAAACAACTGGATGTGGCAGTGCTCACTTGATAAGGTGGTGATGAGTCCAGCGTTTGGACTCAATGATCTTGGAGGTCTTCTCCAACCTAAAGTGTTTCTATGGTTGCTGGCAGCAGGAGCTGGCCCAGGCTGGGGTGAGGGAGCAGGTTATGGCTGGGGCATTGGGTGATTTGTGCTCACTGCCTGGGAACACACTTGAGCCAGCACAAGGCAGTCTAAAGCAGTGTGGGCTTTTTTCATTGGCAGCTCCCTCAAGTCATTGTGGATTAATATAAACTGTCATTTTTCCAAGCCCCAAGACAAAGCAAAGATAGTGGTTTGTTCTATGGCCACTCACCTTGACCAGGGAAGGAATAAAATTTCCACACAGGGGCTCTTGGAAACGCTCCTGCCTGTCTCAGCCCTCGCTGACCATGTYATCCTTCCCTCCCTGGCAGAGAAGTGCCCCGTGGACAATGCCAAGCTGACGGTGGTGGTGAACAACATCGCGGTGGCCGAGCAGATYGGGGAGCTGTTCATCCACTGCAAGTACGGCTGCCGGCCCACGGCCAGCAGCAAGCCCACTGCCTTCGAGGTGGACCCCCGTGGCTGCCCCTTCACCATCAAGCTGAGTGCCAGGAAGTGAGTCTTGTTGCAGCCTGGATCCTGTCCAGGGAAAGGGCCCTGCCAGCCTGGCCTGCCTGAGCTGTCCTGCGACTCTGGGGCCGTGCAGCCCCTGGGTGTGCCATGGGGGTGGGCAGGGTGGCTGCAGGGGACACTTCAGATGGAGGCAGATGGGCTGGTGGCAGGGGAGGGACGCTGTTTTCTGCTCCCATCTTACCTGAGTGCCAGCACTGTGAGAGCAGGCACCTCACACCCAGGATGAAACTGTGGCCATGGTCAAGAACTTGRGATTCTTTTTGTAAGAGGAATTATTAGTTATATCCTATGAATTTGAAGTCTATCTCCCTCCCCATCCTAAATGCATTCCCTGTTTTCCCTGTCCATTGCCTATTGTTGATGGTTGCATGAAGACTCAGCCCATCAGCTGCAGAAGTAGATGTGCCCTGTGGAAATGTGGCCTATTATTACCCTCAATTTTCTGGCCAAATGAGAATTTAAAGCTGGAATTGCAGTCTCAGAGCAGGAGGCTTTGGATCACCTGACAGCCTCTCAGGGCTGATGTGCTCCTTTCCTGTGTTGTTCCCATTAATTTCTGCTTGTTGCTGATTTTCTCTGTCTTTGTTTCTCTCCTTGGGCAGGGATCATGAGAGCAGCTGTGATTACAGGCCCGTGCGCTGCCCCAACAACCCCAGCTGCCCTCCCCTCCTCAAAATGAACCTGGAGGCTCACCTGAAAGAGTGCGAGCACATCAAGTGTCCCCACTCCAAATACGGGTAAGGAGCTGATGCTTATGGGTGGGGAAGATGCACTGAGCTCAGYACTGAGCCTTGGGGTGGCCTCGAGGCCTCTGAGCAGCTCTCCCCAGTGCTGGGCATTGCCCTRAGGCTGAGCTCAGGGTTACAGGAATTGCAGGAGACAGCCCCAGAGCCTCTGTGAGGGAACAGGCAGGTCTCAGGGAGGAGGAAGGTGAGTGCACAAGCAGAAGAACAGCTGGAGGAGAGTCAGAGCATGGAGAGAGGGGGATGTATACAAGAGTAATTTGAGCACCATGGCARTGTCTTGCCAACCAGTCCTTGTCCTGGGGCAAGGGAAGTGCTGATCTGCCTCAGAGGGTTCCCTGTCACCCGAGCCCCAGGGCAGCCCCTACCTGTGTTTCCTGTTTCAGGCAGAGGGTTCACAGAAAGTTCTTTCAACACTGGCCCAGGGCAGTGGTGGAGTCSCCATCCCTCAGGGATTTAAATGCCATGTAGATGTGGCACTTGGGGACATGGGCTAGTGGTGGCYTTAGGGGAATGAGTGGACTCGATGGTCTTAGARGGCTTTTCCAACCTCAGCAATTCTSATTCCCTGATCCTGAGACATGTCTTGGCAGAGGCAGAGCAAGSCACATCCTGGCAGAGCAGCCCTGACTCTGTGCCACACTGCAGGCCCAAGTCAGCATCTGCTGAGGGCAGCTGCAGTTTTTTCCACTGGTTTTGATGGCTCCTGAGCACAACAAACTGAACCACACTCTGTCTCCTGCCCAAGATCTGCTTTTGCTTGCAGACAGTCCAGTTTGTGGCCAGTGCCCTGACTGGAAGARTGGGAGTTGCTTGGCCTCTCTTGTCCTGCAGTTGCCTGTCCCAGCAGGATCATGGAATCATTAAAATTGGAAAAGACCTCCAAGATCGCCAAGTCCACCCTTTGAAGGATCGTGAACCACAGTATCCCTGCTCCTGGTAGGAGGAGCAGGACAGCTGGGGATCCACACAAGCCTTGGAGCCCCACTGAGGAGCCAGCTGAGCAAGGAATCTCCACGTGAGCCCTGCTCCAGCCAGCATCTGCCTTCCCCTCAGGTGCACGTTCATAGGAAACCAGGACACGTATGAAACACACCTGGAGACGTGCAAGTTCGAGGGRCTGAAGGAGTTCCTGCAGCAGACAGACGATCGCTTCCATGAGATGCAGGTGGCCATGGCCCAGAAGGACCAGGAGATCGCTTTCCTGCGCTCCATGCTGGGGAAACTCTCGGAGAAAATCGACCAGCTGGAGAAGAACCTGGAGCTGAAGTTTGGTGAGTCTGCATCAAATGGGCTCYGTGGTCAGAGCTGCAGGGACAGAGCAGCTCTGTGGGTGGTGCATCACAGGGCTGCTCTCCCTGCTGATGGCAGCAGTGTGTTYTGAGGCTGGGTGGCAGTGGGTGCTCTCTGCCTGTTCCCTGGGGTGCCATCAGTGGCTCTGCATGACTCTGGGCCTGTCCTTTTCTCACAGATGTGCTGGATGAGAACCAGAGCAAGCTGAGCGAGGACCTGATGGAATTCCGCAGGGACGCCTCCATGCTGAACGTGAGGAGGGGCCCTGGGATGATGTTAGCTGGCTCTGCCCCTAGCTAGGCTTCTKCTGCAGATGGGGAAAGCTTTGGGGAGACCCTTCTGCTCCAAAACCTGGGCTTTTTACAGGGGCATTGTGCCTTCCTCCCTGCCTACAGAAAGCAGGGAGACAGGCAGATCCATGCAGTCTGATGACTGGCAGAGTGAGGACAGTATATTCTGAAAAGTATTTCTGGGCCTGTCTGAATACTCAAGAGATTCCTGCAGCTCTGAGGTGCTGGCAGAGCCCTGCAGTCTCTGGAGGGAGGTGACAGAGAGATGTGGCAGTCACAAAGTCACAGAGGAGAGGTCTGTGGTCAGAGGATGAGTCGGCTGCTGAGGAAGGGTGCTCTGGCAGTCAAGCAGAAAGGGGGGTTGCAGCAGTGCTAAACCCTGCCCAGGACAGGCTGCCCTGTGTGGCTCTGCAGCTCTCACAGCTTGTGGTGTTTTTCAGGATGAGCTCTCCCACATCAACGCTCGACTCAACATGGGCATCCTTGGATGTGAGTATCCCCGTGGCCTGGGGGTGGGGGGTGCCCAGGGAGCCCTCCTGGGTGCTGTCACAGGGGTGCAGAGCAGCAGCACTGCTCTCCCTCCCTCACCTGGCTCTCCTTTCTGCAGCCTATGATCCTCAGCAGATCTTCAAGTGCAAGGGGACCTTYGTGGGCCACCAGGGCCCTGTGTGGTGTTTGTGTGTGTACTCCATAGGAGACTTGCTCTTCAGTGGCTCCTCAGACAAAACCATTAAGGTAAGAGCTCCCCTCTTCCCTGCACCTTCTGCATTTGCAATGGAACAGAAGCTGAGCTCATTTGTGGGGTGGGGGGATGTCACTTCCTAAAATTTCCTCCAGGGAATCAAATGATTATTTTTGATTATAGTTGGACAAAATTCTCTGCAAGGAAACATTATGTGATAGTGAAATTGAGAGACAGAGATCTTTRCAAAGCCCTGATTAGAATCTCATTCCTGCTGCTGTTGGTTTTGTTTTATATGGTGTTTGGGGTACTCAGGACTATTTCAGCTTCTGRTTTTATTTTCCTTTGTTACAAAAAGTCATCTTAGAACAAAGCATTTGTCCCTGATCCAATGTGTCCATTCCCCATTTTATGGCATGTTTGTTTTTCTTTGTCCCGTTTTCAGTAACTCAAACTGACAGCACGGCCCCGGTGCAGCCTCAACAGCCCTTCCCTGTGTCACTGTGGTGGCTGCTGGTGGCTCCTGGCCAGGCTGGGGCCCCCCATGGGCTGACACAACCAACCCTGCCAGGAGCAGAGCTTTGGTTTAGTTTCCTTGGTTTTAGAGCCACATGGAAGGAAATGGATGTTGCTGTACTTYAGGGAAGGAAAGCAGATTTGTCCCCTGTCCTGGCTGCTCTGGGCACCACTTCCCCTGTTYCTCTCGAGAGAGCAGTGTGTGCTCAGGGGGAAAGCCTTTGCAGGGCCAGAGGAAGCTGTGCTGTGTCACTGGAGCTCTGGGACGGGGTAGGAATTGCAAAAGCAGAAGCCTGAGAGCTGCTCCCTTGTCTCAGTGTGTTGTTTTGGCCTGGGCTGAGGAAGGCAGAGCTGGAACAGCTGATTCCTGCTGCTGTCCTGTGTCTCCAGCGTCAGCCTGACCCTSTGCAGTGCATTCCCTGTGCAGCCAAGCCTCCCAGCCCCGGGGCCCAGCAGGCAGTGCCCAGGTGTCAGCCAGCCTGTTTCCTGCTCAGGCTGCTGCCATCCTGCCCGGGGCTCCAGCTGCCTTGTGTTTCCTCTCAGGTGTGGGATACCTGTACCACWTACAAGTGCCAAAAGACCCTGGAGGGCCATGATGGAATTGTACTGGCTCTCTGCATCCAGGGGTGAGTGGACAGGGACACTTGCCCYTAGGGACAATGGGGACAGCCCTGGGGCTCCTAAGCATGCCCTGACAATTCCCATCCTCTGTCCGGCATGTGCCAAATTATGCATGAGAGGCACATCTGAAAATGGACAAAGAGCATGTCTCTCTGGTCTTCCCCGTGTCCTGGCTTTCTCCCCTGGTCACCAGCGGGGTGCTTGGCTCCCTGCTCCAAGGGCCAGTCCAGCCTGGCCTCCCAGGGAGCTGGGCCTGCTCTGGGGTGGCTGTGTGCAGCTCCTGTSCCCCTCAGTGCCTGGGGACGAGCTGGGAGCCTGCACATGGCACTGTCCCTGTGTGACCCCACTTTGTGTGCTGGTGTCGTTGCAGGAACAAACTGTACAGTGGCTCTGCTGACTGCACCATCATCGTGAGTACGGCGCGTCCCCAGCCCGCTGTGTGGGGGACTGACAGCCCTCGTGGGCTGTGTCCGCTGCCTGAGCTCCTGGGTTGGGTTTGGGGCTCTCCTGAGGGCTGGATTTCCCTCTTCCAGCACCTCCGTGGTGCTCTGAGCTCAGGCAGGGTGGTTGGTCCTGATCAGCTGGGACAGGGGCTCAGACAAGTGACCTGTCCCACCCGTGGGTCATTCCCTCCCTCCGAGGYAGAGGAAGGGGCCTGCCCCTCATGGGTGCTTTGCTTTGGTGACCTTGACAGTGCTGGACTTGGTCTTAGAGGGCTTTTTCCACCTAAGAAACCATCCAAGATTYTGTAATTCTTCTTTGCAGGTGTGGGATATTCAAAACCTGCAGAAGGTGAACACGATCCGAGCACACGACAATCCTGTTTGCACTTTGGTCTCCTCACACAATATGCTCTTCAGTGGCTCCCTCAAAGCCATCAAGGTACAGCTCAGGGGCTCCTCTGGGGCTGCTTGGGGACCAGGAGTGCAAACTCTCAGGCWGAAGTGTCCAAAGAGGAAGAAGGTGGCATTTTGACCTGTCGGTGACCTTGTTGCTAAGCTCTCCTGAGGGACAGAGCAGCCAGCACTGCAGAGGTTTAGCTCATGCTCTGTGCTCAAGGCAAAGCTGTTCTCTGGCTGCAAAAACACTGTATTTCTTCCAACTCTGTAAATCCGAGGCTGTAGCTGGAGTATCCAGGAGTTTCTGAGTGTGTGTGTCCTTAGACCCCAAAGGACCTGCCCAGACCATTGGGAGTTGTGTCTGGGCTCCAGAACTGGCTGGAGATTCAGGCTGCCTGTTTTGAAACTGCCTCCCAAGGATCTTGAGTCTGCATTCCCTACCTAAAACATGCAGAAATCAGGGAACAGCTTTGCAGGCTGCCCTTTCAAGCCTTGGCTGRATTCCCATGGTTCTGCTTCCAGCTCCTGGTGAGACAGCTTATGGGCCCGTCCATCTGTAAGAGGACTCTGCTCTTTTCTTTATCTGGGGCCTGGAGTGGCTCAGCTCTGGAGAGAGCTCCGGGCTGGAGCAGCCACACAGCTGAAGGAGARTTGGGGACCTTTTGGGTTTGTCATCCCTGGCCACTTCCTGCCAGTGAGCTGAGCAGGCTTGGAGTGTGGGGAGTGAGATCTRCTGCTCCGTGTGTGCCAGGGGGTGGGAGAGGAGCTTTGTGGGAGTGGAAGTGCAGGGCAGTTCCGTGCTGCAGCTGTGGTTTAAACTTTGCAGCCCATGGCTCTGCTCGGGAAGGGTCTCTGCCAGCAATAGTGCAGCTCCAGGCTGGCTCCCTCCRGAATGTGCTTACCCTGCAGTTCCTGGGTTTTACTGGCAAGGCAGTGGGGTCAGGCAATTCCCATCAGGCAGGAGAGCCAACAGAAGGATCCCCACAGGAGCTCTGAGGGCCTTGGAGAGGTGGGCAGCGATGGGCACTGCTGGCTGTGTCCTGCCCAGCCCCACTGAGATTCCTCTGTATGTGTGTATCCCTGCTTTCCACAGGTCTGGGATATTGTGGGGACTGAGCTCAAGCTGAAGAAGGAGCTGACAGGTCTCAATCACTGGGTGCGAGCGCTGGTGGCTTCCCAGAACTATCTCTACAGTGGATCTTACCAGACCATCAAGGTGGGACCCTGGCACTGGTGACACCCTGGCACTGGTGACACCCTGAGCAAGCTCTCTCTGTGCCAATCTGTGCTCTGCATTGGGACAGCAGCACCAGAGGCAGCTGCTGGGATGTGAGAGCGCTGCTGACACGCAGGATTTTCCTGTGCTGATTCCATCTCTGCAGGCAGGCCTGCTGGGGAGGCTCCCTGGGATGAACTGGGGCCTCAGCCATGGCGCCTCGTGGCTGCTGCAGCCTTATCTGCACTGACCCTCCTGCTGATAACGGGGGAAGGTCACTGTCTGCCTGCAGGGTTACCATCAATCCCTGTGGGGGCTCCCAGTGCCCCCTTCCTCTGTGCTGGCTCAGGTTTTGATGAATAGCTCCCCTCTCAGCATCTGGGGGACACAGGAGAATTGGAAGTTGCCCTTCTCAGTGTTAATGAATCCCTGTTAATTTGGCTCCATTGGGTTTTAGTGCCATCAAGGACTGGGCTATGTGTGCACATGTGTGTACAGTCACACAAAGGGTGTGAAGTCTCCACAACGTTTCCAACCTGGATATTCAAAGCTGGGTAGATAAATAAGATAGCAGCGATTTGCTCTTCTGTGCTGAACATTCACATCTGGAGAGATTTGTCCCTAAAGGTGTGATCTGGGCACACAGGGAGCCAGGCTGACTGTGTGCATGGCAGAATGGCTGCAAGGGCTCTCCCCTCTGGAGAAGGGTCTCATCCTGCCTTTGCTGTGTCTCTCAGATCTGGGACATCCGGAACCTGGAGTGCGTGCACGTGCTGCAAACATCAGGAGGGAGCGTGTACTCCATCGCCGTGACCAACCACCACATCGTGTGTGGCACCTACGAGAACCTCATCCACGTAAGGATCCACTGGCATGGGCTCCTCGGGAATGGGGGACAGGGYGTGGGGCTGGGCACGTGGCTCTGCCTGTCCCTGTGGCACAGCGCCCACGCTGGAGGTGGAAACTCCTCCTGGAGGGGAGCTCGGGGGCCTCAGCCCAGCGCAGCCTCCAAGGCCGGCTGTGTCCACAGGTCTGGGATATCGAGACAAAGGAGCAGGTCCGCACGCTGACCGGGCACGTGGGGACAGTCTAYGCCCTCGCCGTCATCTCCACACCCGATCAAACCAAAGTCTTCAGCGCGTCCTACGACCGCTCGCTCAGGGTACGTGTGAGCCACGGGGGAAGGGTGGATGGGGATCCCCAGCCCTGCGTGTCACAGGACTGCCGTGTGTCACCCGTGTCACCCCTGACAGCAGCCCCTCCCGGGGCTCCAGGCTGTGCTCGGCTCACGTTTCCCGTGTCCCTACAGGTGTGGAGCATGGACAACATGATCTGCACCCAGACACTGCTGCGCCACCAGGGCAGTGTCACCGCCCTCGCCGTGTCCCGTGGCCGCCTCTTCTCCGGCGCCGTGGACAGCACTGTAAAGGTGGGTTTGCTCAGGCTTCTCCTGGATGGCTTGGGTTCGTCCAGTGCTGGAATTAGGGCATTAAATGAGTTAGGAGCCATCTTCAAGCTGACAGGAGGGTGCAGCCAGGTGGGGGTCAGGCTCTGCTCTCAGGGAACAAGACGCAAGGCAAGAGGACATAATCTCAAATTGTACCAGGGGAGGTTCAGGTTGGAYATGAGRAAGAATTTCTTCATGGAAAGGGTTGCTAARTCCRGGGAGATGGTGGRGTCCTCATCCCTGGAGGTATCCAGTGAATAACTCAATGTGACACTCAGTAACAAGGTGGGCATTGGTCGCAGGTTGGRCTYGATGATCTTGGAGGTCTTTTCCACCCTTAACAATTCTGAGATTCTATGGAACAAGGGGATGGTTCTCTGTGGTGGGAGGTTTCCCTCCTGACAGTGTGGGTGCTGGCAACCCCAAGGGAAGCTCCATCTCCATTGGGGGATGAAGAGGAGCCCCCAGGGCTGCTCAGGAGTCACTGCCTGCGGTGCCGTTGTCTCTCTGCAGGTCTGGACGTGCTAATGAGAGCATCACATGAGTCCTGCACACTGAAAGACCAAAAACTCTCCCCTCCATCGGCCTGTGGGTGACCACACCACTGAAACGACTGCTGCAGCTCCTCCTGCACCGACCACTGCCTGCTGCTGCTGCCCCTCGGCCGGCTATCCCCAGACCCCGGCTGGCAGCTCTCCAGATGGCTCTGCCCCATGGACACTCCAGGTGTTCCCTCAGATCTGCCCCAGATGATTGGAAGCAGGAAGCTGTTCCAATGCCAATGCCCTCCTCTGCCTGTGTCCCCYCAGCTGGGGACACCCCCAGGCTGGGGCTGGGGTGACACTGGGCCTCGGGGCCGGGTGAGCACAGCCCTCAGCCAGCACTGGGACCAGACAGATCTGCGTGTCCCAGCGGTGACACCGGGAGGCTGCTCCCCTGTCCGTGGCAGGACTGAGCTTTGGGCCATACCCTGGGTGGGCACCCGCCCCCTTTCTGTCTCTAGTATTTAATTTTACTGCCAAGGCGCCGGGCCAATCCATCTGGGAAGAGGTGTTTTCCTTGAGTAGCCAGGTACGATTTTTATGCCACAGCTAGTTCTCAAATCAAGTTCCACAAGCCCATTGTTCACCACCCTGTAATAATGGTCTCCACATTAAAGACAAAAAGCCTCCGTTGCATTTTTACTCACATTTTCTACTGTTTTTAAGATTGTAATATAGATTTGATTATTTCTTCATTGACAATAAAAGCAGAAAGAGTTGTTCCTGCCCAGTGTGAGTTATTGCAGGGAGCCAGCAGCCAGCACTGGCCCCATGGGGTGAAAATTGGGGTGTGGGGCTCAGGCACCTCAGTGGGGACAGGTCCCAGCCAGGCCCCAGCATCCCACAGAGGCATCCAGGGGTTCCCTCGGACCATGCAGCACAAACACCTGGCATGACACTGAACACCCAGCACGCCACGAGGACTYGGGGACACAAACAGTGGTGGCAGCCCGGCAGGGGTTTTATTTTTTTTATTTTTGTTTAAATATTTGTTGCCAGACTTGGTATAGGAGCAAACGTCTTCACAGCACCACGAGCCATCTACAATTCAGAATAGGAAGAATAAAGACGAGTAGAGGTGAAATCTAAGCACAGAAGAGCAGGGAGCAGCACCAAGATGCAGAGCTGGACAGATGGGATACGATACAGAGTCCATAACTTAATCATAAAAAATATATATATGTATATATCCATCATGTAGAACTTTATGGATTTTTTTTTTAGATACATATTTTTTTTCTTTTCAACAGATATTTTCAGGCGGGTGATTTATTTATTTTTTTAATTATTTTTAAAGTCTTTTTTTGTGTGTTTTGTTGGTTTTTTTTTTAAAAGAAATTTCAAAGTTGTGCCAAACACATTTGGATCAGCGACCACAATGGGAGAGATGGGGGAGAGAGGGAGTGGGGGAGAGGGAAGGAGGGAGAGAGACCACTCTACGTCTTGAGAAAAGAAAGGAACAGCAACACTTGTTTGGAAACCACAAGCAAAAAATGCATTCATCAGGACTCAAGCGACTGAACCAGACTCCAACTCCAGTTTATACAGGAATATACAGCGGTGCATCCCGCAGGACACACGCGAGCACACGCACCCCGCGTGCACACCCACGCACACCCACACGCACCCAGACAGAGACCGACAACAAAAGTCATAAAAAGAAACGAAACCAAACCCTGAAGACACTCCAAAAGAAATGAAACACCTCCAGTGTAAGAATTAACAAAAACCTCCATAAAACAAGGCACATCCTTTGAGTTYGTAACGGTGGAAAAAGAAAGACGTGACACTGAATCCCAACGGAAAACCCGACCAGAACCGCTCGCACGTACCTTCCACCCAGAGAAAAGGTAAATATTGTGCTACTCTTAGAATGAGTTTGCCACAAGACACACAGCTTAGTATAATCTAATAGTTTTTCTCAAGCTAAAATCCAGTTTTCTCTTGATTTCTTTTAAACTGCTTTATATATAATTGCTAATATTTTTAAATCTTTTAAATATATATTTGTTAAAGTTTATTTCTTTTTTATTATTTTGGGGGTGGGGGAAATCTGCTTTATATCTTTTTTTTATCTTTTTTTTTTCCCCTCCAATAAATTAATACTTCTTTTTTATAGCTTATCACCGTCCTGTCCCCAGGCAGGGAGGGGCCAGGCAGGGGCACGTCCCGCTGCCCCCGGGGCCACCGCCGGCCCAGCCCGCCCYCGCCAACGCCGACCGAGAAAGAAAACAAAGTTTAAAAATCAAAATTAAAAACGGAGCAAAGAAACCCAAGTGCATTTGCCTGCCCYACCCCGCCACCAGCAAACGCCATCGGTGACACGCGGCTGGCGGAGCCACCGCGCCGGGCAGGGCTTGTGCTACATTCGGGTCGCGGTGACCCGCGGCGCCGGGGCTGGCAGGGTGTGGGTGGCCACCGGACAGGTCATCGGGAGCCCCCCGGAGCCCCGGCAGCGCTTCGGTCCGGAGCGTGTTGCTTTGTTTCTTCTGTTGGGTTTTATTTCTGTGGTTTTTGTTTTTTTTTGTTTTTTTGCTTCTGCAAAAGGGAGTCCTGCCGGAGCCGGCGCCGAGTCCGTGAGCACAATCCTGAGGTATCTTCTTCTTTGTGCAAACCCCGAGGGACGGGATGTCCGGGAGGGGACGGCTGTACAAAGGGGACGGGGGGAGGGCGGCGGGGCCGGGGGGTCGTGGATCGTTGTGCCCTTGTGCCCACGTAAGCCCTGAGGTTCGCGGGGCCCTGGCGCCCCTCACTCCAGCATGGCATCCAGCTGGTCCGCCAGGTCGTCGAACATGCTGCCGATGTCGTCCAGGATGCTCACGGTGCTCTTCGACTCCACGGCCGAGCTGGGGAGTGACAGAGACGGGTCAGGACATGGCACAGCCCCCTCGGCCCCACAGCACGACCCTCCTGCCTCTCTGTGCTGTGGTGTCCAGTGCCATGACCCAGTGCTCCATGTCCCCAGTGTCCCCTCTCCAAGACAGGCCCCAGTGCACCCACATGCCTAAGTCCCCCTGCCCATGCTGCTTCAGCATCACCCCTCAATGCGGTTMCAGCCAGGGTCCCCTGATCTCSTCCGGTGTCCCCCAGCATCACCCCRCTCCCACCGTGGTGTCACAAGCCCGACCCCTGTGCACGGTCCTTGTGGCCTCCCGTGCTCAGCGTCACAGAGTGGCCTCACACCCTCCGCGGGGACCACCACCCACGCCTGCCCCCCCTTACTCTGCCGCCTGACTGTCCTCCTGCTTGATCTTCTCCTCCACAGCYTGCAGCGCGGCGGCCAGGGACGCGCTCGTCTCCTCCAGCTTCTGCTGCGCCAGCTCGGGGCCGGTGCTRTCGACGGACGGGCTGGCGATGGTGGAGCGCGGCGGCTTCACCGGCACCTGCTGGGGCTGCGCGCCGGGCGACAGGGGCTTGGCGGGGCTGGAGCAGAGCGAGGGCGGGGTGCTGGAGGGCTTGGACGCGGGGCTCAGCTGCCGGGCGGGCGACGGGGACGGCGTGGAGCTGGCACTCGCCGACTGGATGACGGCGTGGGGCTTGGGGGGCTTGGGCGCCGTGGGGGGCGGCGTGGGCTTGGGGGACACCGGGGGCGGCGTGCCATGGATCCGCTTCACCTCTGCGGAGAGAAGGGAGAGGGGCAGGAGGGCGGCGGGGCGGCTGGGACCGGCGGCGTCCGCTCCGGGGAGCGGCTGTCTCAGGGGGCTGGCGGGGCACCTACCTGGGCTGCCGGGGCTTGGGATGGGCACCTTTTTGGGGACGGGCACAGGCGGCCCAGGCACCTTCTGAGGCGGCTGCGTCAGCACAGGCTTGGGGGATACCGGCGGCTTGAAGGGTTTCTTGGGCTCGGCGGGCGGCGGGATGTACTCGGGGCCGTCGGGGCGGGCTGCGGGTGGCGGGGTGGGCGGCGGCTCAGCCCCGCTCAGCTCTGAGGCCGGCCGCCGCTTCACGGTGCCGGTGCCGTTCTGGTACACGGCGAGCGTGGCCGGCTCCAGCGCCGGTTCCTTGTCCTTGGCTTTGGGCCGGCGCTTGACGGTGTCGGACTCGGTGAGGACGAAGCGGACGCCGTCCTGCTGGCTCTGCCTGGCCCGGATCCGCCGCTTAAGCGTGGCGCTGGCCTCCACCTTGGCCAGGTCCCCGTGGCGGTGGGCCGGGGACAGCCCCTCGCCCATCTCCCCCCGGGCCGGCCCCAGGGGCCGCGGCCGCTGTTTGATGGTGAGGGTGCCGTCCTCGGCGAACGGGATGCCGTCGGGGGAGCCGCCGCGCTCCACCCGCAGCCTGTCGCCGGGGCCGTCGGCGGCCGCCTCCGACCGCACGCTATCAGCGCGCTCGCGGCGGGCGGCTGCCACCAGCCCGGTGACGGGGCCGCTGATGGTCCGGCGCCGGTTCACCACCTCCCCGTCCAGCCCGATAGCCTCCTTATGCTTGACGGTGGCCAGGACGGTGGCCACTCGGGCGCGGTCGGGGCTGCCCGGCGGGGGCCCCGGCTGCAGGTAGTAGCCCTCAGGCGCCTTGGCCGGCGCCGTTCCCGGGCCGGCTGCCACATGCGGCTTCTGCAGCGCCAGCCCGCGGGCCCCGCCGCCGATGGAGGACATCTCGAGCATGGCTGCGATGCTGCGCACGCTGCCGGCGCTGCCCGTGTCCACGCTGCCGCCCAGGTCGCTGGCCCGCCGCTGCTCCCKGCGGCTCTCGCCCTCGGCGCTCAGGGTTCCGACGGCCGCCTCGCCCTCACCCTCCTTGGGGAAGTCCTCGGCCATGCCGGCGCTGGAGATGGCAGAGCTGGAGCGCTTGGGAGGGGGTGGCGGGGGTCCCTTCTTCTTGGGGCGGACGGCGAAGGACTGGCTGCGGTTCACGTTCTTGTCGCCGCCGGCGGGTGCCCGCACCGAGTGRCTGCGGCCCACGCGGCGCTGGACGGTGGCGTAGGGCCCCGCGTCCGGCACCAGCAGCTCGTCCCGCTCCTGCTCGCTGTCGGAGGCGGCGTAGCGGTTCAGGCTGTGCGCCCGCTTCTTCGGCCGGCCCGGCTCCTCCTCGCCCTCGCCCGCCGGCGGCAGGCACAGCACGGGCACCGAGACGGGCAGGACGGGCACCCCCGGCGGCCCCGCCTCGGCCTCGGCGGGCTGCGGCAGGACATAGGCGAAGCCGCGGTGCGTGGGCGACTGGGGCAGGGAGCGGGGCGATGCYGGGCGCTCGCCGGGCGGCAGCAGCTGCGGGGTGGGCTTCACTTTGGCGGTGGCRTGAGGGGCCGCCGGGCCTTGTGGGGACGAGGGTCGTGCCTTGCCGGGGGTCTGCGGCGGCGTCAGCTGCCCGGCGGAGGCTGGGAAAGGCTGCCGGGGCTTGCCGGGCACCGGGGGCACGCTGGCGCGCTTCACGGGGTGGCCGTGCCGGGGCTGGCGGCTCTCCTTGGGCGGTGCAGGGGGGCTCTCCCCGGCCCCCTCGGCCAGGTACTCCTGGCTTTTGGAGATGGCGGCGGCGGGAGGGCCCCGCGGGCCATCGCCCAGCAGCTCCTGCGAGCTGCTCATCTGCCGGGCGCGGCCGCCCAGCCCCGGCGGTGAGCGGTAACCGGGGGCCGCGGGGTTCGCCGCCTTCTCGGGGGTCTCCTCGGGGCCTTCGCCCGTTATGGCCACCTGCAGCTCGCTGCTGAGCTCGCTGTCCTGGAATGTGGTCATCTTGGGTGACTGGCACTCRGCTGGCTCTGGCGGGGGGGACTCGATGGCCAGCACCTCTGGGCATGGYCCTGAC